TGCGGACAGACGAAGCCGCTCATATTTTCGACAACCCCAAGCACCTTGAGCCCAGTCTTGACGCAAAAGTTGAGCTCCTTCTTAACATCGGCCGTCGCCACCGCCTGAGGTGTCGTAACAACTACCGCGCCGGCCACCTGGCCAGGGCGAGCATCGCGGAGAAGCGTCTCGGCCAGGGAGATGTGCTCGTCGCTTGTGCCCGGTGGCGTGTCGATGAGCAGGTAGTCAGTCTCGTCCCACAAGACGTCGGAGAGGAATTGCCTAACCATGGCCGTCTTCTTGGGTCCACGCCAGACAACGGCGTCGCCTCGCCTGGGTAGCAGGAAACCGAGACTCATTGCATGGAATGAGCCGATACCCTTTTCCTCGACGACATCGTGGACTGGCACAGGGAGCCAGCCTCCAGGGGCCTGTTTCACTTTCTCGGCCTCAATGGACAGCATGCGGGGAATGGAAGGGCCCGTCAAATCGACATCGAGAACGCCGACCGAATAACCGGCCAGTGATAGGGACAATGCAAGTTGAGTCGTCACTGACGACTTGCCAACGCCACCTTTGCCTGACAACACCTATACATGCAGTCGGTCAGCTCGGTGTCTCATGGCCATAGAAATGGGAAAGGGCGGGGTCATACCAGCACTATGTGCTTGACTTTGGAGAGCGACATGGCAAATGTGCTTCTTGCTACCCAGGAAGCTAAACCCTAGTCACTGATGCAAGCTTCTAGGCGAGAGCTGAAATGCTGGGACTGACACGTGCCCAGAACTGAGGGATCTTGAGGTTGAGATTGAAGAGCAAGTCGGGTCCGACTCATTTGAAATCGGCGCGGCGATGTGCTCCACTCAGTGCCAGCGCCTCCGGCGTCTTGAACCTTCGTGGTTGGTAAGCAGTGCAAGGCAAGAAAGAGAATGGAAGAGGTGGCCAGGTCGGGTTTGCTGTTGCTTGCTTTGCTTTGTGTATGGCGTAATAAGATGTGATTAACGATTTCGGAGATATTCTAGAAACATTCCAACCGCCATTTCGTTTACTCTTGCCTGGCTTTACCTTTGTACCCCTACATTTCTTTTTCTTCTTCCCCCCCTTCTCTTCTTCCTTTTTTATTTAATTTTTTTTATTTTGGCCCTCCCCAACTTGCCCCTCCATCGCATGCCGTCATCGGCGCTCGAGCTACCGGCCAGACCACCAGTTTCCTTATCACAAGCCTTATCGGGAAGCAAGCCCGGTCAAACCTCGGCTCTGAGCGCTATCTGGGAAAGTTTGGTCTGCAGCGCAAACTGTGACCGCCGAGGCGAATGTCAGACACGCATTGAGTTGAAGCTCACCGCAAACGAGCACCTCCTGGCGGTGCACGGACGCTCTCCGACTCGCCGCCCCGGAATCTGATGCTGATTCTGGCTGCCCCTACGACTTGAGACTCGCTTTGGACTGGGCGGAACAGTCTGATGTCTCATTTGCATTCCCCTGCCTGCTTTTGCTTTTCCATCGTATCTTTTACCCGCGAAGCTTGTTCGACTCTCGAATTCATTGCCCAATTTATCGTGTCCACCCGTCGAGACAACGCCAATCCTTTCGACATTGTCACCCTCTCCGTCGGATTGCCAGTCCCTAATCTTCAACTCTCGGGAACGTCTCTGCACCCAACCGCGAGCCGCGCATCGACAACCTGAGACGACAACATGGCCTTCTAGACCCTCCGTCCCAACGACCGACGCTTTTCTCGACTTGCGGAAATCCGCGGGCTCACTCGATTGGACCACATCAACAACATGGTTCTTAGTTTTCCACAATGGACGATCCATGGGGCTCTCCTTGGGCAACCACCGACACTACAACCGCGCCCTCTACCAGTCCCTCCAAAAACAGACTTGAACCTCCGCCTCCCGCTTTCCTTTCCACTCCCAACAGCTTGACCATACCGTCCAGCCAGTCAGCATGGCTTGAGGACGATCACTATGGCGACTGGGCCTCTCCCGATCCAGGACAAGCTACCAGCACATCACCATGGATTTGGGGGAACGAGGCTGCGCCGATCGAGGGGCTGACGCCGAGCTACGAATCCAAACGAAAAAGCAGTACCCCCAGATGGCCCCGGAGCCAGTCACCTTCGCCAGGACTTGGGCCTCGGATCACTCCCAACATCGTCTCTTCAGGCCAGCCTTCGCCTGATCCATGGGCCAACCATGTGTCAACGTACACAAGAGACGACCCTGAGCCTTTAGCACAACTGCCCCAGATCCCCGATGTGTTGCCGCCCGTGCTCGAATCATCGCAGGTGGGCTTGGGGTTGAACGACTCTGCCAACCCCTTCGAACAAGACTTTGTCACGCATGAACCAATCGCCACCCAGTTCGCTGATCCGATGCCCAACTCCACACACGAACATCTCAAGTTTAGCGACACTCCCCTCTCCGACTGTTTCCCTCCCACCACCAAGCATGGCGACGAAGCTGCCCCATCCTCTGCGTCGGCCTTATCTGAGGATGGCGCCGACAACGATGAAGCTTCAGATACCAGTCACGCGGACTCGCCCATGACATCTATCGAGGACAATGCCGCACCCAAAGCATCACAACGAAAAGCCTCTGGCAAGGTGCTGGAGCTCGTTGAAATGTACGATGGGATAGCAAAGCGGAGAGCAACCACCCCCGAGCGGATCATACCACGCCGCAGTGCTAGCCGAGAGCCCAAAACAGCCGCTAGCGACATTCCGGATCACGGTAGCGAAGCGGACAAGCAACCCGAGGCCGACAGGGAGGTACAACATCCCGGCTCAATATATGTGGATTCAAGAAACTTGCCTGAAGACAGAGACGAATCGATAGGACACATTGATGAGGTGCCCAAGTCGATACGGCCAGATCACGATCCTTTCGACATTGATTTGGGTAAACTTGATTTGCTCCTACCAGGCACACCGGAGGAAGTTTCTGGACCAAGTCAGGATGTATCAGATCGTATTGTTCGCGACAGCTTCACAACCATACCTGAGCGGAAGATGTGGTACCGGCTATCTCGCAATGAATCACTTCGCAAGCACAATGCGGGCGACGACGATAATTACGTGCGGATCAATTGGACCAACTCTACTTTGCGCCAAGAGACCTTGAAGACTGTCCGCCGGTGGATTGAGGAAGACTCGTTTGGAGGGCGAGCTTTCCGCGGCGGATCGGCGGGGAATACGGGCAGCAAAAACTTTGGCTGGGATGCCACAACGGCGGCATCCCCTGTTGATCTCGACAGAGTTTTTGGCCGCAAGCAAAAGCGGCAGCCCGCAGTTCCTCGGTCGACCTCAACGGGTGGTCTCCCCCCTTTATCAACTTTCCCCATGGTTCCTGGATCCACGGGAAACACCCCAATCTCAGCACAAGCAAATGGCAATTGGGAAGGTCTTGCAGCGTTTGGGTGGAGCTCGGGGGCCGGCGACACGAAACAAGCAACGGAGGCAAATGCACCAAGGCCTTCTGCTCCTAGCATACCGATTTCCCTCGCCTTCACTGGGTTTGATAACAAGCCCAAGTCTCACGCGTCGTTGCCGGCGTTTATCAAGCCGATCGCGCCGACACCTCCGACTTTGAAGGCGACGAGTCCTGCGGCCGAGGAAGCCGAGGAGGGCGAGGACGAATGGGGAGACATGGTGTCGCCAACCACGGCTGAAGCGACTGACTCCGCATCCCTCCCAAAGACTAGCTGGGATTCGTTCTCGACCAATCCGCTGCCCGAAGTCGCGAGCTTTACGACCAGTAACCCTGATTCTGGTGTACTCCGCACCGGGCTTTACGACGATGGTAATTTCCGGGACAAATCAGGAAGGGGGATTATTGGGAGTGCCATCAGCCCCACCCCCGCCCCCACACAGGCACAGCCACAGGCTGGGGTAGCAGATATACCCCGAAGCCACGACGGCTTTTCAGACTTGTCCAGGTCGGCGTCGACGGTGAAGCGACTGGCGAGCAAGAACCTGAGCGACCCGCGGATCGCTTCGAGTTTTGGTGAAACCGGTTTTTCTGCGGAAGGGTTGGTTGAGACCAGTCCCACGACGGGCCTCCATACGGGGTCGACTACTCAGCCACGGAATGCACACAGCACCGAGGGCTTTGATATTGTGCACCAGTTTGTGCGTAATTTGCCAGACCTGTCGTACATGCTGAGATGATGGTGGTAGTCGGTATAATGTCATGTTTGCATTTGCATTGGACGTATTTGGACATCGGAAGAGCGCTTTCTTTGATATCATCATTATCAGCCATGCATATAGGGCATTGATATTCCGGCGTTTAGAGAGAAATTAGAATCCCCAGGGTGCCACGGCAGGCGATGTTGCAAAGAGAACCTATGTAGCTGGTTCATGTACCGCTAATGTAAAAATAAGCACGTTGGATGTCATCATGTTCTCGTGACGACCGAGCTCCGTGTGTAACCCGTCGACGTGCAAAATGCGGAGGTTCCATGCCCCCTTTGTGGGCGGTGCCTACGTAGGACGGACGGCCTGGCTTGCATCGTGCCCATAGCCCGATTCGTGATGCCGACATCGATTGCCGCCTCAACCGCCATTGCCGACCTTAGTGCCGGGTGCGGGGGGGCCCGCTGGGTGAGAGGTTTTAGGACAGCGTGGTCCTGATTCTGGTGTCGAAACGAGCATCCACCGTCCTAGCATTGCGTGCGTTACACGACGAAGGGCCACGAGAGGTCCACTGCCAGGGTTCCGGAGAAAGCTTGATAGTGCATGATTCGCACAGCATTGCGGGCGTCTCGGTTTGCCATCACGTCTCGCGAGTCTTTTGTTTTTGTTTTATCGGATAACAATACGGGCTTGCACGAACGAGAAACGGGCCTGGAAGTACAAAAAGGCCCCGCCGCCCCGGTCATGACATGCCCTGGGTTGTTCGCTTGTTTCCGTTCAACGCCCCAAGTTTGGAGAACCTCCCACCTGTAACCCGTTCTTCGCACGAGCTCAACCTAATTTTTACCCCGCCGGCCTTGCTCGGGAGTAAACCTTGACCATGGCCGTTGTTGGGCTTCTGCTCTCGCCCTGGGCACCGGCCCTCTTGGTGGTGGGCGTCGTCGCATATTATCTCTACCCATACTTTGTCACACTCGGTCACCTCCGCGATATACCAGCTCCGTTCCCGGCACAGTTCACCAACCTGTGGCTGTTGTCCGTCGTCAGGCGCGGCAAAAGATACAAGACAGTTGATCAAGTCCACGAGAAGCTGGGCCCAGTCGTCCGGATCCAGCCCAACCACGTGAGCATCGCCGATGATGAAGCCATCCAGACCATATACGGTCATGGAAACGGCTTTTTGAAAGCGTGAGTCCACCCACGCCCGCTGATTGCCAACACGGCTAGCTTCCCACGGAATCCATTGGCCTTGCGTTTGGGTCAAGCGTATGACCAGCACCCGGACTGATCTCCTACACTAGCGACTTTTACGATGCCTTTGTCTCCATCCGCCGGGGCCTCTTCAACACTCGAGACCGCCACGAGCACACACGCAAGCGCAAGTTGGTCTCGCACACCTTCTCCGTCAAGTCGATCAGCCAATTCGAGCCGTACATGCACGGGAACCTGGCTCTCTTTGTCCAGAAATGGGACGAGCTCGTCAAGAACAACCCCGCCGGCGCCACCATCGATTGTCTGAAATGGTTCAACTACCTGGCATTCGACATCATTGGCGACCTCGCCTTCGGCGCACCCTTCGGCATGCTCAAGGTCGGCGCTGACATAGCCGAGGTCCGCGAGTCGCCAACAAGCCCGCCCATCTACGCGTCCGCCATCGAGATTCTGAACCGCAGAGGCGAGGTCTCGGCGACGTTGGGGATCCTGCCAGAACTGAAGCCCTGGGCAAAGTACCTCCCGGATCCCTTCTTCAGCCAGGGTTTGGAGGCTGTGCAGAACCTTGCCGGCATGGCTATCGCTCGCGTCAAGTCCAGGCTGGACAACCCTCCCGACATTGACCGTCTGGATCTGCTCGCGCGCCTGATGGAGGGACGCGACGACAAGGGAGAGCCACTCGGCAGAGAGGAACTGACGGCGGAGGCGTTGACCCAGTTGATCGCCGGCAGTGACACGACGTCCAACTCGTCGTGCGCGCTGCTGTACCACGTCGCGCGAACCCCCGGCGTGCTCGAGAAGCTGCAAAAGGAGCTCGACGGAGCCATCCCTGCCACCTGCGACGTCCCGACCTATGACATGGTCAAGGACCTGCCCTATCTCGCCATGACCATTAACGAGGCCCTCCGCTACCACTCCACCTCCGGCATCGGTCTCCCACGTGAGATCCCGCCCGAATCGCCCGGAGTGACGATCCGCGGACACTACTTCCCCCCGGCACGGTCCTCAGCGTTCCGTCGTACACAATGCACCACTCCAAGGAGATCTGGGGCCCCGATGCGCACGAGTTCCGTCCAGAGCGATGGGAGTCGGTGACGGCGAGGCAGAAGAACGCCTTTATTCCGTTCAGCACGGGGCCTAGGGCCTGCGTGGGCAGGAACGTGGCGGAGATGGAGATGAAGTTAATTGTGTCGACGTGGGCGAGAAGATACCGCGTCGAGCTGAGACAGGATTACATGGAAACGAGTGAGGGGTTCTTGAGGAAGCCCCTGGGGTTGAACATTAATATTAAGAGACGGTAAAATGAGCCACCTATGATATGATACGTGGCTACAGGACGATGCCTCGCGGCCTGTTGTGTATATATTACGGGAACTGGTCTCAAACCCCCCAGAAGGCTCCAGCGAAGCTCCTACTTTCAAGACTCTTTATCCCAATGTCCCATTTGTGTGAAGAATGTCCGAATGACGGAATACACCGCTGCCGTCCTTTCAGGCTTTCTACTTGATCGACGTGCATAGTCAGACTTTGAATCAATCTCCGAAGCTGGACCTCCACTTCTTGTATCCTTTCATCAATGAGCGGCGAGGAAAGCTCAGAATTTCCGAGCGCTGAACCCGAAATCCTTGGGTAGGTTGTGGGCACAGGTATTTTTCCTTGCCAGCAGCCCAGAGATGTCGACGTCTTTGCGTTGCAGTCGCTACCAAGCCTATGCCCTGGCCGATCATCACCCAAAGGCCTTATGCTACCCAGTAGGCTGCACTGTGGTCAATGGGCCGGAGCTAACGGTTTCAACTCTCGCAGTGCTGGTCGAGATAGACCTTGCAAATGCTCGCAGAACGGCAAGAGCAAGCGTCCGGATGAATAACGGGGGTATGCCTCCGTAGCGACAACCAGATACACGGTCATTGAAGGCGGCGCACGGATATCAGAACTCCCCCTGAAAGTCTCCATGTGCCCACTCGTTGGAGAACCAGGCCAGCGAATCCAACCCCATGGGTTCCATATTGAAATCGAGGCTGTCAAGGGCACCCTCAAACGCATTATTGACCTCGAGCGAGCCGATCGATGTAGGTTGTGGAGGCACAGGAGCCTGTTCAACCGGCTTCTCAGTCTCGGGAACCTGTATGTCTTCCCAGGCGCCGATGCCGAAGGGTCGGTTCGTGAGCTCATCCGCAGCAGGTGCACCGCTATCGGGATCTTCGACCAACTGCACTTGTTTTGCGCGGCTGAGGCGGACGCGTTTGGCCCCGTTGCCGTTCCTTTCGTCGTCGGGGGGCTCTTCGCTGAGCAGCCGGCTCGGCGTGGCCTGTATCGAGAGTCCGTGATCCATGAGCCTTTGTAGATCGGCTTGCTATTGAGTAGTTAGTAACCGGACAGCGCTGGCTACAGCTTGCGCCACTCACGATCGAGACTGCTGCCGTGCCAGAACAGCACCCCTTGGTCACATCAAGGCAAACAGAAGCCTTCTTGCGGAGTGTATCCGGCGTGAGTCCGTACTCGTCCGCGTTGAGATGGTAGATATAATACAGCATCCGGATGCACTGGTAAGCACAGACGGGCATGTCCAGATCTGCGACGGGATAGTGGTCCAGTTGCTTGATGGAGGCGAACATGTTGGACATCTCCATTGCGTGCTCAAAGCATTGTCGTTGGCATCTGGCGATGAAACCAGGCCCCAGCCGCTCCGAGGTGGACCGAGATAGCGAATCGCGGAGCCCAACCAGTCCTATCCTGAAGAGATCGCAATTGCACTGCCGCCACCAGACATGAATCATGATGAAGACACAAAGACGGGGCGAGTATGCCCTCAACCGTAGGCTGTTGTCTGACCAGCGAAAAGACACTGGCAATCGCTCGGCAAAGTCTGCAAGTTCCTTGGCGAACGCTTCTAGTTGTTCCTGGAGTCGCCCAAGGTCTTCGTGAGAGCAGTTGGAGGCTCTCCTGGCGAACTTGAGGATTCTGCCACGCAGCCAGAGGATGCGCACGTGCAGTGCCAAACTGCCAATGTCATCGTTCTCAGACTCATCCGGGCTAGGGATCAGTGGCCGTAAGGAAGGCGGGGCAAGGTCGAACTCGAAGTCTCTCTCGTTACAAGGGAGCGAAATGTGAATTGTCTCGGGGGTCCACAAGGTGAGGTCCCGGTAGCCCCCGGCCATGCCTTGGTCTATCATGAAAAGCGCCCACATAAGTCGACGCCTTGATTCCTGAGCCAAAAAGCAGAGGTCCGGGTTTTCGTAGTTGAGCCGGAGAGCCGTGGCGAATCGCGCCGCAGTAGCGGCCAGCATGAAGGCACTTGAGAAGCGACGGGTCAAAATACGGTATTTGATGATGAGTGCGAGAGTCTGGACTTTGATGGTTGAAGCGTTCTCTAGACTTTTGAGGATTAAAGATTCGGACTCTTGGACACATTTTTCTCCATAATCTCTTGTCCCTGGACCCAGGTCGGTGAGCACGCTAGTGATGCCGATAAGAGCAAGTAGTAGCGGACGGTCTAGGCCCCCCGCATGATGCCTTTGCATAAGGGAGGCTCGGTGGAGAAACGACAGCATTGGAATGTGATGGACATGGCGGAAGAAGTTGTCCAAAGCCCGGCTTATGAGAGACTCAAACTGGGGATCAGGGACAGGCCTAGGGAAGGTTAGTGAATGTCATGGTGGCGAGAGTGAGGATGTAAGTCAGCGTACAAGTCATGATTGAAGGTACTCGGTGTATTGGACGTAACGACGTCGGGCCCAGCGGCGTCGGAATCATGAACCGCTTCTTCCCGCGACAACGACCGACGGTTCGGTTGGTCACGGTGGGTGGCCGTAACCGAAGTCGATGAAGTTGGCGATCTTATGATCTGGTCGCCGTGGTCGCCGCGGCCGGGAGGGTTGATGCCCAGTCGCGTCCGCTTAGACGCCCGATAGACGCACTCGATCCCTTGGGCCCGACATCGATCGCAGGCCGGGGTGTGCCCGCTACAGCGAGCTTTCCGGGAATGGCAGCTCTGACATGCCTGGCGAACACGGCGTCTCGGCAGGGGAAATGTAGGGGCGGCAGCGAGGCCATTGGCATCAGAAGTAGAATCCTCATACGTGCATGAGAAGCCGAGGCGTTCGCAATTGCTGCAGACATCCCGTCGTCCATCGCAGCGAACCTTACGGGCTCGACAGGTGACACATGTTGTCGCCGAGGACCGCTTGGTCGGTTTCGGGGACACGGACAATGAGGCTCCCACGGCTGCGGCCGAGGCTGAGGCTGTCACAGTGGTAGCTATGGTGGCAGCGACGGCCAGGTCTGCGTTTATGTTTGTGTCTGAGGAAGAAGTGGTGGTGACGGCGGTGGCGGCGGCGGCTGTCGGCGGTCTGTCGGGTCGGAGATGGCGTCCAAGGTTGTCGTTGTTATTGTTGCCGACATTGCTGTTGCCGAACAAATTTGCCATTCTCCCAGATAGCTCAATAGGTGGGCGCCCTCGTTAAGTTATGCTCACCGGGACTCGGCGCGCGCACAATAGACCTAGAAACAGAGGGACGAGGCTCGGAGTCTAGGGCTCATGGATTGCCCATTCCGGAGAGGAATCGGCGTGGGCCTTTGTATGTGTGTTGGGAGGCAAGGCAACCACGTAATACTTGGTGGACTGGGAAGATTAGGTACCGGTATGCAGGACAAATCTGGGGAACAGTTGCACTGTGCAGCAGTTTACTTGGCGCAGAGAGACAGAGCGGCAGCAGAGGACGTGGGATACGTCGGGATGGATGTGCGGGAGGAGATGGGGAAGGGGGTGGAAGAGATTGGCTGTGGATGTTGCGCAGTGTCTGAACTGTGCTTGTGCGCTCGCATTTCTCGGCCGTCTTTTGCAGTTGACTACTTAGCCCCGCAACCTTTACTTACAAGCACGGTGCATCTTTACTGTGGCCAAGACTGCGTTGAATCAGTCATTCTCACAAGCTCCTACCTACCCAGCAGAGGGGCTTTGGGCCACCTTGAGAGGACAGCGGTCTTGCTTACAGGCGAGTTCAGCCCGACGTCCGCTGAGCATTAGTGGGGTGGAAGCCCCTGTTCGCGCTCAATGCAGGCAGTCCCGAGAAATGGAGAGGGTCCGTCCGTAGGAGAAGTACGATAATTACACTTTGGTATGTTCTGCACCATTAAATCCCGGTTGGCAATGGAGCAGACCTTATCCGTATAGAGATAGGATTCACTATTGACGACGGCAGACATCCATCGGCGACTATGTCAATAAGGACAGAACCCAAAAAGACCCGCGACGGAGGGGGATCTATTTATTTGAGACTTCTCCTCAAGGACACTTAGGATGACTTACATGCTGGGAAAACAGATAAAGGTATGTTTGCTGCCCAAGTGATGAAATCGTAATTCGCCAACCCAGAATATCTCACGAAGTTTGATGATAGAGAGAGACACACAACAACTTTATTCATGGAGGGAGATGGATTCCAATACGTTCGTTGTTTACCTCGGGATTTCATCCCCCGCCAGCATATTGCACGACGGCTATCGGTAGAGTCACCGAGCACCGGTACCGATAGCCGTCTTGGGGCTAATTTGCACATGTACCGGTAATTCCAACCATTCATCAACAACCCGTCGAAGCCGTAATCCCATTTCCACCAGTTGTTTGGACTTTTTGAGAAAGGAAGGTTGTAGGGACAAAGTGCGGTGTTGTATTGAGAGCCTTGGGATCTTCGTTTGCGTGATGATGATTTCTTTTCTTTTTCTTCTTTTTTTATAAATATATATATATATATATATATATATATATATATTCTAAGGAGAGCATACCCTGACAGCCGACATTCCATGGCAGACCCGGAGACTTCACCCTTGCATCTCAGTTAGGATGGATCTGGGAATTCACGAGACTTTCGATGGCGCTTTCAGATCCGGACTCTTGAGGTCGGCAGAACTCAACAGCTCCATGGCCATATCCATAAGGGCATCAAAATACACTGGATCCGACGTCGCCTTGATTGAGTCGTGATAAAATAATGGTGTCCGTGGTCTCGGGAGAAAAGATGGATTGGTTACAGGCTCCCAGATCTCTCGGTATACGTGACCAATCCAGGCGACTGCCAGACCGCAACAGTACCCAAACGCCGGCAGTATCTAAGGTGGGGAAAATGATGATGTTAGGATCCGGCTCCCCCACACCGACAAAACGGTGAACAAAGGCGGTCAAGGTGCATTTGACGGCAATACCTTACTGACCGAGCTTATGGACGCTCTTATCGGGAGTGAGGTACCCCACCACAACCCCGCGATAGAGAAATTTCCCATTGCGTTCAAAATCATTCGCCGCATCGCCTCCCCATTTGCCTCAAGCATTCGGTCAGAACCACGACAGGACTGCTCGTATAGTTCCCCTTCCTTCTTTCTTTCTTTGCGACGTGGGTTTTTATACGCGGAAATTCAAACAACATCTGCCACCATGTCAAATGATTCGGTGGCCGCCGCCCCTGCGGTCACAAGCCCAACGGCACCTGAAGAGCGCAAGCCCATCCACGCCCTCGTCCTCGATACCGGCCCATTGATCAAGAACGACCCTCCCGTCAGCACGCTTCTCGCTCAAGCCGACGAGCTTTATATGCTGCCATCCATCATCGAAGAAATCCGCGACGTCAACACCCGCACCCGAGTAGAGACGACCCTGATGCCTTTCGTCAAGATCCGCAGCCCCCGCCCTGACAGTATCAAGTTTGTTTCCAACTTTGCGCGCCGCTCCGGTGATCTCGAGGTTCTCAGCAGACCCGATATACACTTGCTTGCTCTGACCTACGAGCTCGAGCTCGAGAAAAATGAAGGCGACCAGAGGTTGAGGAAGGAGCCCGGCCAGCGTGTCGCCAACGCCAAGCCACTCGGCGGCGAGGCCTTGGAATCGAAACACGGGGTCAACGCCGAAGTCGAGGTTCAGAAAATGTCTTCTGTCGATAATACAACGGCTGCAGAGTCGGCCCAGCCATCAGCGGCCGTCTCTTCGGAACCGGGTGCGGAAACGATACAAACCGAAACCTTGGAGAATGAGACAGCGGAACCGTCATCCTCGGATGCAGAGGCGTCGGCGATCACCCAAGACATGAGCCAGCTTGAGGTGGACGACAAGACTGTCTCCGTGCCTGCGCTTTCGGATGTTGCCGATGCCAACGAGGCGCAGGGCGAAGGATCGGACTCCGAGGACGGCTGGATCACGCCGTCCAACGTCAAGAAGCACAAGGAGAAGGACAGCAAGCTGCTCCAACCGACAGCACCTGCGATCGACATCAAGGTTGGCATTCTTACTTCAGACTATGCTATGCAGAATGTCGCCCTGAGAATCGGGCTGAATCTTCTGTCGCCGTCCATGTCTCGCATCACTCAGCTCAAGACTTGGGTATTGCGATGCCACGGGTGCTTTCAGGTCTGCAAGAAGATGGACAAGCAGTTCTGCCCGAGCTGCGGACAGGCGACCCTGATTCGTACTTCATGCACGACGGAAGAAGACGGCACCTTCAAGATCCACCTGAAGCGTAACTTCCAGTGGAACAAAAGAGGCAACGTCTATAGTATCCCCAAGCCTGTGGCTGGCACGGCCAGCGGCAAGCTGGACAAGCATGCCGGGGGCAAGAACAATTGGGGTACGAATCTCATTTTTGCAGAGGACCAAAAGGAATATGAGAAGGCTGTGGGCGAAAAACAACGCGCCCGGCGGAGAGACCTCATGGACGAGGATTACCTCCCCAGCATTCTGACAGGCGATCGACAAAGCGCCAACGGGAGGGTCAAGCTAGGACCCGGTAGAAACATCAACGGGCGCAAGAGGAGATGAAGAGGCACAGCAGTGAGGTTGAAGCTGATGTTCATATGTTCTGCATGATACCACGATAGACCCGTTATAGAAGAAAAGGGTAAGCCCTCAGAGGACCAGGTGGACGGGAAAAGGGATGGTGGGAAGAAGTAAAAAATAAGGATGATTTATAGATGCGTCGCTCTGGTTTCAAAGTCACAGAGCATCTACCGCATCAAGGATCGAGTAATGAGACTCCAATTCCCCCCCATTGAATGCAAGCCTTCCCCCCAACGCCATTTTTGTGAACCTGACTTTTGTTTGTATCTACGAGTCTCGAGGAGCAATCCGCCATGACTTTGTTGTCCCCCCCCCCCCCGCGACTTTGTACCGCGCCAGACCCTAGCCGTTGGCTCGTCCCGCATAAGTCGTCGTGTTATCGGAGCATGGTTGTTGTGCTGGAGCGAAGGTATCTTGGCCGGGTATCTGGACTTTCTTTTGGGTTGAGTGCGTGCGCGGCCTACCAGTTTACTCAGACTCTGGAGTTTGAATCAGCATTACTCCATCCCACAAACAATCCGCGGAAACTCACTTTGCTGGGTAAGCAGAAGGTTGAAGCGACGCTTCAGCGTAACACGCTGGCGCGACCATTTGTCGTCGGGAGAGAAACGCGCAGGGTGAGCGGATTTGGTGACCTTGCCGTCGGCCACCTTCTTAAGGGTGTAGACACGGTTGCCCGCCTCGTCGAGAGTGTACATCAAATGCATCTTGAGAATCGGGGATTGATATCACGTAGGGGGCGTAGATTGTCGGCGGAAAAAAAAGGGTAGTCTACGTGATCTTTTCCTTGTAGTAAGTGCACCGCAAGAACTTTTTTTTTTTCTTGTTTGCAATCCAGCCAATCGAGGTGCACGTGACCTTCGGTGTGGAGCCAATAAGACGAAGGCTTCGGGTCTTCTTCGGTGTGAAGCACCACATCTGCGAACAGGGTATCTTACCTTAATAATCAGTGGCTTCAAGCTTGAAACAAGTTTGGCTTCTCTATGATATCTGAGTGGTTGCAGTACAATCGATCCGTTTTCTCTGGTTACTTATTCTTATTTGGTTTATCTTCTACATATGAATGAAATACGGCATATCTTTCTTCGCAGCCGCAAATGATACCAGCATTTTCTCACGCCTAAATGTTGCTCCAGGTTCCCTTCCCAAGGGCGACATGTATTGCGACTTGACGACTGCTGACATAGGCTAGGTAATTCCATGTCTCTGCTGACCAGAGACCTTGGCCCAGATTACACGACTGACGCTTGCTCGCCCACCCTCTCTCCAATTTGTTGTCACAACATGCTGAATCACTTAACCTTGGTGAACAACCGTGGGTTAATCTTGGTAATATTGACAGTAAAGCAAATTTAACCTTGATAACAAAACATTTCGCGATTTCCTAGGTTCCTTTCCAGTGAAATCCAAGACGCTGTGGGCTTACTACTGATGATGTCCCATTCTGTGTTCCTGAAAGGGCTTGATGCTATTTCCCTGGGGAAATGATGGTCCTATCTTCAGTTAACCAATGGCCAGTCTGACCCTCAACTATACATACCAAATTTAGGGTGAACAATGTAGTTCTCTTGGTACACGTCGACTGTGTTCATCCGAGAGTACTCCATGACCTTGTCAAAGTCAATGCACTGATGCGGCGCTGTTTGGTTGACAATGGGTCGAGCGTCAATATCAGTCCACATATGAGTGATGATGGAAATGTCGCCACGGCAGGTCGCACCCATTCGAAGGACCTCAAGACAATGTTCTACCGCACGGTAAATTATTCAGCGCGTATCCTCCGTTGTACAATATTCACTCCCGGAACTGGTGCTAGACTCACGGTTATGCTCTCGGTTAATCGCAAGTTCTTGTTCGGTCGCATTCGGGAAATAATACTCTGGAGACAGGGTCTGATAGAGTCGTTTCTGTGTTATGTCTGGTCAGCTATCCCAGACAGCATCCTCGGGTAAACGCCGCACTCACAATGCAGTGAAGCTCATGAAAGGTGCTCAGCATTCCAAGATAGCCGCCGTCAGGTAGCTTAACAGCTTCATGATCCCTACCCCAACGGCGCACCCAATCTTCCGAGACTCTGATATTATTATCTAAAATATGGTTTATGTCAGCTCTAACCAATTGAATCGCACCTCATAACTTACACTGCAACAAGTCTTTCCATGCTTGGTCTACTTCAGGTCTTGGTTCTCCGGTATATATGCCATGGGGTGGCCCTTGGATCGGGAAAACTTCGAGGTGTGTTTCTTCACCAATGGTGCTCGGCGGCGCTGCGTGCTTCAGTCAACCCAGGGAAATCCGAGGAAGAAAAAAGGAGTACAAATTCACTTACAGTCAATCAGGCTGAAAACACCAGTCGCTTGTTTGCTCCAGAACATAGAAACGAAAAAGATCATCGTGTAGACGGTTATCAGCGCAGTGTGGAGAGCCCAATACCCGAGCTTGCGCAATTGCAATGCGCGTTGCGCCTGCGCTGTTGCTAATCCAATCTCCACATTGTCAAGGCTGGAAGTGAAATTCTCATCAGAATAAACTGGCGAGTATTCTTTGGTATTCCTGTCCATTTGGATATCTCTTGAAAGCGGTCCTCTCGAAGGTAGGGAGTTGATGGAGCTGGGCTGGGGCGTCAAATGGGCACAATAATGTTCGAAAGTCTAAATGTTGAGGCATGGCAGTAATCTCTAGGTAGCTTTGTGTATCTAGACAAGATTCAGAAGATTTTGCCGGGACACAACATGGAAAATTTGTCACATATCACCTCTGAACGCTGATTTGGTTTTAGAACAGCCCAGACACGAAGGATTTGAGAGCTTATCGTAAACTGTCGGAACCCGCCACAAGATCAACAGTAGAAGTCATCTGGGCGATGGCTAGCGCAATAAATGACCACGAAGCCAAATCCTTCTCGCTGGAAAAGGAAGGTCTTGTGCATGCCTTGTTCTTATCTAGGTCGGCGTTCTGCGCCTACTTACATCTATCTAGCTGACGTGATCCAGGCTTCTACCAATAGCATTAAAAACCATGCATAACGATGTTTCTGATTCTCCGATAAAGATTTTGTATACCCAAAGTATGATTCTCCGCCAAAGAAGACCAGATATAGCCCTCGCTCTCCAAGTCAGGATGACCCATTCCTAGCACACCACAATGCGTGATACCCTGTCAACTCTGACGAATGTTCTGCTAGAATTGTTTGATCGAATCAAGTATTTCACGCCCTTCCCACCTATGACAAGGTTCAGCGGCCATTAGTGCTGTGGTAAGACTTGTCCAACGCTCGGCTTCCTGAATATCGTGATGTTATCACACCCAATGTTATCACACCCACTCATATCAACGGCAAGTATAACTGAGGTTATTTTCGTTTAGGTTGAAACTTTAGATCTTTTCTTTTTCTTTTTTTCTTATGTTCTCTTAGTGTCTCCTAGAGAACCAGAACGTGGACTATCAGCACAAACCCCGTCGGAACTAGATGAACTGTGCTTCCAGTTTTGAATCGTCACAGGCTTCTTGTCGCTTAACCTTGATATGCATCTTGAATCCTCCTAGATGCGGGGGCATCAAACTAAGGCCGAAGTGGAAGGTCAGTTTAGGATAATGTTGGGTCATCTTACCTACCCTACCATCCACATGTACTAATGAACACCAAATGATTCCTTCACGCCCCAAGTCACTCATTTGCTACCCCAAGAAATCTGCAAGTACAGGTTCAACTTCGAGTCAAATCTATTACATATCTTGAATTGCGTGGCAATCACGAATCGCCAAACCGCGGAGAGTATCTCAATATCACCTGCCTCATTGATTAGACCCTTAGATGTAGCAGCAAGCAGGGTTCGCGCTCCTTCAGATACTTTTCTAACCCTGAGATTCTTTAGCTACAGCGACAAAGTGGTGGCATATCCGCGTGGCTATACATTAGAAAAAGTCTTAAAAAGGACATCATAATCTTTCATAACTTTCGAGTTCAAACTTGTTAAATTTCAAATCAAATTATTTCCCTCCCACAGAAATCTCAACTTGACCCAACTTCGAAGCTGACCCAACTTCCTCCAACATGAAGATTACCATAATCGTCGCCGTCTTGACTGCCTGTGTCGTGTCGCTGCCCACCCTTCCTGGCCCAGGGCATGGTAAGACGTGCAGTCCAAGCTTTGAAAAATGATCATACTGATTTTCAATAGCCCAGACCAACGCCGACGAATCCTACCTGCCTATGAAGTCTCGCGCGGAGACAAGTGCCGATGAATCCTACGATCCGATGAAGAGAGCCGAGACAAGCGCCGACGAGTCATACCTCCCTATGAAAGCTCGCACCGACACGAGCGCAGGCCACATATGATACACGGGCCGTTGGAATACCCCTGTTATGTCTTCGGTTCATCCGAAGCATACCAGGCACTTCATAGTCAATGATCTACAATGCCTTGTATAGCTTAAGCCTATAACACTAAATGCAGCCCCACGTTAAGCCACTCAGTTGGGAGCCGGCAGCCCGAATGGATACCTTCTGAAACGAGTTTACACATCTTAAGCTGACAATGACTCGACAATGACTCCCTAACTGGCCTGCACGTACCTGACACCGGGTATCACCCGGAAGGATACAATATTCCCAGCCCAGACCAATCCCACAATTGAATTCTAACCCGCTATATTCCTTGATGGTACTTCAGGCTCATGCAGGGACTATTGTAAGCCTGTCCGATGACTCCTGTGAAACTACTCATACATGCAACGTTGATCATACACTGAACATAACCAGGTCCCTTTCAGCCCAGTTAATAACGTTTCCTTATCAGTTCTTAGTACAGATTTCATGCGTAGTTCTCTCTAGAGCCTCATCAAAACCAGTTTAAATAGTCTGTCTTCTGACTCTCTTACTGATTACACAGTATCAACAATTATCAGTCCTTACTATAACAACAACATTGCTTTTTGATCACGGCTTACATAACAATCATTGAATCCATAACAGCCCAGTCTTTCATCACTTTGATTCATCGCCATTATCTCCTTAATCAGCCAGAACAAGAAAAAAACAAAAAAAAACAAAATGCGCTGCGCTCTTCTGTTCTTCTTCTTGGCTCCGATTACCGTTCTTGCGCTCAGCATCAAGCCTCTTCTTGGCGGCGCGAGTAAACTCGGCGGCGCGAGCAAACTCGGCAGCGCGAGTAGACTCGGCAGGAGGCCTGCCACGCCTGCTGTTGCCAGGCCTCTGACTGGTCCGTTGTGCTGCGGCCAAGGTGTTGCAGACCCCACTGGAACCTGTAGTGGTCAGGGGTTGAACTCGTTTTGTGTAAGTTTCTATCCTACTAAGAAAAAGACAAAAGGAAGAAAGAAGAGCGGAAAACGAAACAGAATTCTAATAAATGTCTTTACAGTGCTCTGACCAGCGGAACGATCTTGGGACCGGGTGTGACAACGTGGCAAGATTTCCGATCGGACGCCAGGTCGTCTCCTTTGCGTCTAGCGATATTACTTGTGATGGGACTGGATTCATTGGGTGCGCATAATGATCACGACGGCCCAGGAGAACTGGGCAGGTGCGATACCGTTTGAATCTCTGCCATTGGACGCCAGGTCACAGGTCTCGTTGCCGGTAGCTCCTATAAGAGGATTGGTGGCCCTAGCGATGCTTTGATGGGACCGTTCGGAGCCGCGTAACTGTGTCGAACGCTGGCGTTAGGTGGTGTGTTAAGATTTATGTTATGATACCCGCTATTAGTCGAGGCGCTGTGCGTCACTAAAATATTGTATCTTACCTGCGTACGGCTGCATCTTGAGTGGCTTGACTCATAAGCTATTGTAGTAACTGTCACAATGCTCTCAAATTCGGTTTTGCTCATGCCGGAAGAATCATTACAGTATGTTGTATAGGTAAGTAGGATATTTTAAAAGAATGGAAGTAATTTTATAACTTAATATCTTATTTCCAAAACCTTACCTTCCATAAGGAATAGGATAGAAGTTCGTCGCTATAGTATGTAACACCGATTTCTTTATCTTATAACTAAGCCTAATGCCTTATGTTACGCAGCTCTCCTGTACCCTTATTTTATAAGTATTGACTAAAGCACCACGCAAGTCATTACAGCTTACCTATTTAAGGGCCTGAGTAGCGATTAGACCTGTTAAATCCGTACTGATGAAAGCAACCTTGGGGCTGTGGTCCTGGTGCTAGTTCGGTGTCACAGACAGTACCTCTAGGGCCTAGGGTCAGGCTCTATGCCTTATAAGGCAGTGTTGACATCAGTGCTGGCAAGAGTGTCAGCATTGGCGGATCTTTTGACCTAGCGGGTTTAGGCGGGAAGGTCTATCGGCAGGAGCGTCACTGTCAGAGTCCTGTTAAATTCGGGCTTATGTTGTTGCTTTGGGTAGCTATGTGTATAACGGAACTGTCTGCACATAAGAGTTTATTTGAAATCTGCTACTAAACTCTACGAATTAGCTGCTATGAAATTTGCCTAAGGAAACAATATATATATGCCTACAGGAATAGCTAACTCGTATACCTACTGATTGACTTGGGAACTTTTTTGAAGTAGTAAAACATTCTGATGTCCTTGTACCTATAGAATCTTCCAAAATATACACACTACAAGTATCAAACGTACCACTAAACCTAAATCAACTTTCACAGATAGGTACGATAATTTTACGTATTATTTAATTGTTATCACTCCATGATTATAAGGAACGTATAAAAGTCGCCGATTACAGTTGTTTTTCTGCCGTGCTAGGGACCCTCTATCTAGTTTCACTGTATGATTACTGTATGATTTTAACTTTACCAACCTTAACTTTATGTCTGTTACAGCCTGACTACAGGTAGATGCGAGCCAGCCGGCGTAACTATAATATAATGCAGAACAGGGGGTAAAGTTTTTGTGATTCAGTTGGTTGCCCTGACTTGCTACCCTATGCCTGAGTCAACGCGTCAATAAGCTGCGGCAATGACTTTATCAATTAATCCGCGACTCAACATCTGGATAGATCTTGTGCTAAGATTTTCAGGCAGCCACCTGTACAGCAATCCGCACCAGCCAGCTAGGGTAAGTAGGATACTGAAGTAAACCACATCCTCACAACGACAGCCATGGCCCAGAAGTAGACTGAATCTGGCAAGGCGCTACTGACACCTGTTCCACCATGCCCGGCCTAGGCATGGGATTTGCGCAGCGTCAGCTGAGCGGGCATCACCATGCAAATGTGATCAGGAACTATGTCCTTTCCCAATGAGCATTACTCGGGGGTGCTAGGTTCTGGTAAAGTTAAACACCACCTCCGCAGGGGAGGTTTTTTTTAGCGCAGCCAGCTTGACTAATACCCCCGGGTAGTAACGTCCGTCGGTCCGAGACCGGTAAGCTTTTAGAACTGTATAGTGTGACCGCCTTCGCCGTGACGAGATTATCAACAGGCACTATATTTGAAGTAATGGGCCCCTCCCGAACTCCCTACGCTGCCTGCGCTCTGTCAAAAGATTTTGGAACATCAAACTCGTCTATACCACGCGATATTTTTCCGAATAACAGTTACAACATGTCACTACAAGATAAGGTAATCCTTATTACAGGGGGGTCGAAGGGCATCGGCCGCTCCATTGCCATCAGCGTTGCAGCCCAAGGGGCAAAGGTCGTGATTAACTACAACAGCGATGTATCCGCCGCCAACGAAGTTGTCGAGATCATTGGCCACGACCGTGCAATTGCTGTGCGCGCTGATAACTCCAAGTTATCCGAACTGCAGAGACTTGTCGATCTTACAGTCGAGAAGTTTGGTCGGATTGACGTACTTATTCCTAATGCTGGCATTATGCGTATGCGCACTGTTGAGACCACAACGGAAGCCGACTTTGACGACTTGTTCAATACCAATGTTAAAGGTCCTTACTTTTTGATTCAGGTAGCACTACCCCTCTGTGATGGTGACCAAGTGCCAACTTATGACTTACAAATCTTTATAGAAAGCCCTTGCTCACATCCCTGAAGGCGGTCGGATTATCCTCCTCTCTTCGTCAGTCCTAATGACGAGTTACCTTCCCCCACCATATCTTCTGTATGCAACGACAAAGGGCAGCATCGATCAGATGGCTAAGTTTATAGCCAAGGATGTCGCTAGGAAAGGCATTACCGTGAACGCTGTTGCCCCTGGGCCTACTGGCACTGCTCTCTTTTACGAGGGTAGATCAGAAGAAATGGTTAAGGTTGCAAGTGAAAGTAGTCCTTTTAAAAGACTCGGAACACCGGAGGACATTGCATCTGTCATTGTATTCCTTGCAGGCAAGGACTCTAGCTGGATCACAGGCCAGACCATCCGCGTCAATGGTGGAACAGCCTGAAATTTAAATAGAGACTTTAAAGGTTGATATAGAATATAAAAGAGATGGTACTTCAAATAAGGCTACTACGTTCAATATTTTGTCTTTTACCATTTTTAGTTCACAAACCTGTAGATAGCTTAATACATTAAGAAACTAGGGTTTAAGAGGCATAAATTCTCTAAGTCTAGCTTGCTAGTTGTAGCTAGAAGTAGTAGTTCTTATACTTCTTCAAGGCTGCTAACTTATACGCACAAATTAGTAGAACTGCTGTCCCAACAGTCTCCTCTTTATATAATATTATATTCTAGTAGAGTAGTTAGATGTTACGTTTTGTAATTTAGCTATTGTATTGTTGTTAGGGCGTTGTCTAAGATATATTGTACTAAGATGTAGGTTTTTAGACGTTTCATTTCATGTTAGATATAAGCGCGTTAAGCGCTAGAACTAAATCGCTTTCGTTTAAATGTTATACCATATTGTCGTGAAGCTGGAATAGCTTCGTGTAGCTAGTATCAGTGGCGACCGCTACAGATGTGGCGTACCATCCGCACGGATCTCCCTGAATTAGTGTTTCTGCCAATTCTCCGGATCGTCCATAGATTCTTAATAAGATAATCAATTTATTCTCGAATGACTAGACGCTGCGGTCCATCACACATGTTTATTTATCCCTTTGAACACCAGGAGGCCTATTTTAGCGTCGCACGGGCCAGAAAAAAAAAACCGGCTACTCAGGATGCAAGTTATGTCAGTAGTGTGCTTATGTTATTGGCCGTCAGCCCTTGCTATTGTGGCCGCTAAGGCATAATAGGTAGCGCTCGTGTTCAAAGGGATAGGTAGAGGAAAATACCGGTAGAGCGAATGATAGGTTATGCGAAATTCTAGAAAAGTAACCCGTTCACTTATGTGACCGGTGCACAGGTGGACTACGTTACGTCGTCGTAAGTTATATAATTTAACTCGGTATTACAGACCGGCTAGGGTTGTTAGAGATTAGGTACAAGAGATTGTCAGCAATCAAAATTGGGTTTGTATTGGTTTCACCTGGGTCTTGGTGATCCGGTTAACCGTACGTATCGGTGGCAGTAAGTATGGTTTATCTTGAAAAGCTTCTTCAAGACCTTAAAGCTTATCTAGCTATGAAACGTCAAGGAACATGGCTCGACTCGTTAATTCAGAGATCCCGGACATGTGACATCAGTCGGTAGGGTATATAAAAGCCCAGAGTACGAATGCAATGATGGAGGCCACCATACCGTATTCCTCCATATCTTATGGTTGCATCTTTTGGGAAAAAGAAATCAGTTAAACTGCGTTAGTTGCCATGAGCTTCTCAGAGCACTTCTCTATCGCCAACATTCCATTTGGGATCGCAAGTACTTCCACTCGCCCAAAGAGTGTAGTCACAAGAGTTGAAGACTCAATAGTCTTTCTGTCGGATCTAGGCCTAGAAGCATCTGAAAATGTCAAGTCCGCATTGTGTCAGGTATCAGTATTACTTCTGACCACTAGTAACGCAGGGCTGTTATTAATATTGAGCCTCGCCTAGGCCACTCTCAATGACTTGGCAGCCATCGACAAGGCTGAGCTTCAGCAATTGCGCAAAAAAATACAGCAGCTCTTGTCTGACAACTCCACACTATCCCGGTACAGTGTATCTGTCGACGATGTCCAATTACACTTACCCATAAGCGTTCAGGAGTTTAGCTCTTTCGCGTGCTTTTTAGACCATATCAAAAACGTAAAGCCATCTATATTACCACTGGCAGAAAAATTTCCGATCTCTTACGTTGGCCGGTCATCATCCATTGTTTCTGGCGGGAGATTTGCCCGGCCATACGGGCTATATCATGACGGGGAAGAAATTATTTTTGGCCCCTCACGTGCAATGGATTATGAACTAGAAGTGGCTTGTATTATTGGCAAGCCGACACAACTCGGAACACACGTATCTGTATCCGACGCTACCGACCATATATTTGGCCTTGTTCTTATGATTGATTGGAGCGGTTTGTTTTATCTACGTCCTGGGAGGGATCTAGTACTAATAGAAATAAGCTCGCGATATTCAGAGCATAGAGATGGGGCTTCTAGGTCCAATGAACGGCAAGTCTTTCGGAACATCAATTAGTCCCTGGGGTGAGTCAGTCCTAAGATGGTAAGGCCTTGTTCATTGTATTATTGTTACTAATTACGAGGCTTGTATTAGTGGTCACGCTTGAAGCGCTTGAAGCATTTGCGACCCCGCTTTTACCAAAGACAAAACCGTCTCCGCCATATTTAAGCAAGGAAAAGTCTAGTTATGATGTCACGCTACAGGCCGAGGTATTGACAGAAGACGGACATACATTGGTTTGCAAATCGCAGCTTAGCTGGATGCACTGGACGTTCGGAGATATAATCTCCCAGCACACAGTTAACGGTTGTAATCTTAGGACTGGCGACGTCTTGTCAGCAGGGACGGTGTCGGGGACAGGGGATAACGAACATGGATGCTTGCTTGAGTTAACTAATGGCGGTAAAGTTGCGTGGGAAACGTCTACGGGTCAGAAGCGGATATATCTACAGGACAGTGACGGTGTGCGTATTAGTGGATACGCTGGGAATGGCGTTGGATTTGGTGATTGCTTGGGTTTTATTGATGCCCCTAAGCCGCTTTACCAAGACAAGGAAATTGTTGTCGTACAGTAATATAAGGCGTTAGTTGCTGCCATACAATTAACGGCGTCGTTTTTGTGTGCGACAATTGTTTAGGAAGCCAAAATCGAAGTGTATTGAAAACGCTTATGTACTTTACTCAAATACACATCTAACAGGTTTGTAATGGTTATAAGACTTTATTGGCTAATTAAAAGGCTGTCGTGAAGCTGGGACAGCTTCGTGTGGCTGGTTCCAGTCAGAGACGCCGCGAAGTGGCGCCTCCAACCGATAAGACTAACATTAGGAAGAGTATTTCTAGGCAATGTTTCTCTCGTACTTAGACTTAGCAAAATCAACTACTTCTCTTCATAAATATAAAGACGCTGCGGTTTGTTACAAAGGCAGGTATCAGTAACTTATTATATATATAATGTAGTTTATGAGTAAGCTATACAAGCAAGCAAGTAAATAGACAACGTGTTTCTAGGCGGTACGCCTGTAGATCAAGAGATAGATATTAGAAGTGCGCTAGCATTGACCAAGGTGGTATGCCAGAACTTAAGGCAGCAAAGTGTAGACTATGTCTTTTTGACTGCTTTAGATCATTTTGAATCTGACATTCGATGGTATTATACTTATTATTGATAGAAAAGCAAAGTACATTGGAATGCCACAGGCGATAAACAAATATATGATTACATCATTCTAAATTCTGATATATGACCACTTAAAAATCATCTTGCGTCATATCCCATGTAAATATTTTATCACTACAACAGGACCCGACTATTCATTAGCATTCATATTTTTGTTATAGTCCTTAATGCTTGTCTTGACCATATCCTCGGGGTCAAAGTGCCATAACTTGTGCGACCTATCTTTCACTTCCTCAAAACACGTCTCAGCTTTGACTCTTTTCTCGGGGATAGCCCAATCCTCCTGGTGGAAGAGGTCAACAACCCTGCGGCTACTATTGACCAACCACTGTGTTCTAGTACGTCTCTTCTCGTCAAAAACCTTGAATGCTGTTTCCAGTGCCTTGTGTTTGGTCGAGGCACCATTACTATTGACCGTTTTGACCACTTGTTCAAGGAGAGTACTCAGACACAGGGCGTCCTCGATGCCGCAGCTTGCCCCAGTACCGTGGTGGGGAGTGCTTGCGTGTGCAGCATCGCCAGCCAAAACAATTCTACCCTTGTTGTAATAAGGTGCAGGATAGTCCCAGGAATCGAACAGCGCCCACTTCATCATGTCGTCAGGCAGCAGAGCCACAAGGTCTTGGACGGTCTGGTTCCAGCCATCTAAAGCCTTTTCGACATCCTTGCGTGAGCCTGTACTCACCATGTGTTGCCAATCAGACCATTCGCTATCATCACTAAGAAAGGCCACAAAATTCATCTGTGTCTTGTTGGCGATAGGGTAATGAAGAATGTGGGCCTTAGGACCGATATGCATATGAAAATTACGCCCTTTCCAGTCGCCAAGAACTTTGTGACAGGCTTCGTAAGGTAAGAGACAGCGGTACGCAACTTTGTGCGCGAAATGCGGGTAGGAGGCAGGGTTTCCTTCTCCCAAGATCAACTCGCGGACGCGGGATTTAATCCCATCACAACCGACAACTGCACATTACACGAGGTCAGAGGATTACCACAAAGGGATGCAAACAAACATTACGTACCCGCATCAGCGTAAGCCTCTTCCCCATCGGTAAATTTGAGTACCAGCTTCGTTTCTGGTCCTGGTTCTTCAATATTGACAAGTCGTTTTCTCCAGGAGACCACATCAGGTGGCAGAAGCTTGACCAGAGACTCAAGCAGTACGTCTCTTCTAACACCCTCAAAGCCCCTCGGCCCAGCATCAAGTACACAGAGAGGTGTCTCATAGTAAGGATCGTCTGGCTTAGGCTGTTCATATCCGTCGACCCAACGCAGAAAATCATGACCGCCACAGTCACTGAGTGGCACAGAGCCACTGCTATAAAGGGCTTTGAGAACGGCCGGGTCGATCATACGCATACACCTTTGGCCAGCACCTGTGAAAGCCACACCAGCCCCAATCTCACGTGGGCCACCCGACTGCTCATATACGTGGACTTTGATGTTGCGCTTGTGAAGCCCAGCTGCAAGAATGAAGCCTACAATGCCTCCGCCAACGATAGCGACAGAAAAGGGGGACTGTTGGTCGTTAGGTCTCATTGTGACAGAGAATCCGGGTATAGTGTTGAATTAAAGACCAATAATGCAGTTTCCAACTTATAGCGTGAAGGAAGGATTCTTGACGTCAAATAGGACTTCAGAGGATTTTTATCTGTTGCTGTATTTGCGACCCTGCCATCGAATCGAAGCATTGGCAAATATCTGATTCGTAGTTTGTCATCGCAAAGATAGGAACCAGGGATTTACTAACAAAGATAGCACTGACCGGACACATTCATTACGCAATAGGTGCCTTGGGTGTGTCAGAAGTAACCTGACAAACATAAACACCGCTCATCCATGTCCGGCCACTGACAGGTGTAATCGATAAATGTAGTTGAAGATCGGGCAATACTTGTCCTTATACAAAACATGCCGGCGGTGATAGAACCACAAACTAACCGTAAGGCTTATCAATGCCCCTGCTAGTCGAAACTCTTTTGTGGATCTGCTTGACTAGCAGTAAGTCTCAGCCAGTCGTCGTTTTTGAAATACTCTCTAATCTTCAGTCTCAAGAACCTTAGCGGCCTTCCTGAGTCATGTGGATCCGGACACCTTCAACTCGCCCCAAAAATACCGAGGCCGACAAACCTTATCGGCATCTAACAAAACTCGCCTAAGAGAGACTTCAGCCTAATTGTTCCCCTTTTGGAGAAGCATGCTTGTCCCGAGCTCAAAGAAAATGTACCCTCAGTCTCAGACAATCTCGTTCAAGATCAAAACGCATTATCTACGGATGAATCCGTACAGCTATTTAATTACTATCCCTACTAGACCCTTATATGTGTAGAAAGCCTATCCTTTTATTATAGTTAGTAATCTAATAGTAAGGCTTCTAGTCATGGTATAGCTAAGGTTAATACTTAGTAACAGTAGTACAGGGTTACTATATCATAACTTATTAACAATCTAACTAGCTACTAATAATCAAGACTAGTTAAGTCAATACTATTATTACTGAGTATTAAGCTTAGCTATACTGTTAGTAGAAAACCTATTATCAAATTACTGACTTACCATATATTTCTTATAACTATATTAGCAGTTTAGAAAACCGTTTTTATAGCTACTAGCCACTATACTTATTATATAGGGACTACACAAGAATAGAGCATAGACATTTATTTTACCTTATAGTATAGGAATACAGCTCTACTGGAGCACCTCGCCAGCCTTTCCCATCGTATCAACCAATCTTTGCCGGATATGCTCCCCAACAATCGTTTCTCCTCCAGACCCATCCAGTGGCTTACACTCTAATTTCAAATTGCCGTTTAAGAAAAAGGCTACACTATGTCTCTCCTTGTCTGTATTTGTAAGCACTCGGTGGCGTGCACTGCGGTAATAACCCGCGGTATAGATTTGCATCATGTCACCCATATTAATGACAAACGCGCCCTCTTTGACCGGAACCGGCACCCATTCCTCGGTAGGCGGATACCAAACTTCAAGCCCCTTAGTTCCTGGTTCCTGCAGTAGCACCGAAACGCAGCCAAAATCAGTGTGGTCAGCTACGCCAAACTGATTCTCGGGGCGCTGTGGTTGAGCTGCATAATGAAGAAATCGCATAGGGATGGAAGGATCGACGGTAAGATTGTCAAAGACATCTTCTGGACAGTTCCATTCCTTAGGCAGTCCCTGTGCCAGGATCTTCAGTAAGATGCCGACAAGGTCAAGCATCTTGGCTTGGTATTCTAAGATGGGGATGCGGAACTGGTCATCTGGCAGAGATGTCGGCCAGAGATTCGGGCCTGTGGAGAATGTACCACAATCAGGATCATCTAGTGCCACCTCTCTGCCAACCATAAAAGTCTATTGCAGCATACATCATTAGCAAAGCCTCTAGATGTGTCTGTAGTTGATGCTCTCACCTCTTTGGTGTCTGGAAGGAGACCTTCATGGTGTGTCTGCATACCAGCGGGCTCATATCCTCTGAATGATTTGCCCAGAGACTTGCCAATCCACACCTCCATACGCTTTTCTTTGGGCAAGGAGAAGAACAGACGATCGACTTCAAGTGCCTTGGCTTGCATTTCAGGGGTGATACCGTGACCGACAAGATAGAAGAAGCCATATGTGCTACAAGCTTTGCTCATGTCGTCTACCACCCTCTGTTTCTCCGACGCCGAGGCGCTGTCCGAGAGCCATGCACTGATGTCGACCGTTGGGATCGTGCGAGTGGAGCTTGTGCCATCGGTTACCGCCATATTGAAAATACTCAACACCAATACAGTCTCGAGTCTTGAAAAAAAAAAAAAGTTGCCTGTTATGTAAAGTGAAAATCTTATTCTTCAATCGAATTACTCTTAAGTTTGACCTGGTCAAGCAGGGAATAATCTGTCTAGCCACAGGATGGAATGCACCTTTAAATATAGTTCTTTCAACCGGCCTGGCAACCAACTTTGGGCGCACACATTTTCAGTTACAAGCCAGCCTTGTGGCGAACTGAAAATTAGTGGCCGGTTCTATTCAAGGACTTGGCATAGAAAGAAATCGCCGGCTGCAGCAATCCACAAATCTCATCCTTCCTGATGGTTTTGTAAAAGGTTTTTCTTGAGACAGCGTAAAAGTAAAAACGGTAATCTCTAACCTCCATAGTTACTACCTTGCTTGGTGACAGGCCTGCTAATTCTGTGAATATACGGTGTAATACTAACAGTCCTGCGGATATTTTCTACAATAGGGCAAACACTCCACCACTTCCGTTTTGACAATCAATAAAGGCATGCCAGGCAGTCCGCCGGGCAGTTTTCCAAGTCATGTCATGTTCGAACTGATGAGATTGGCTAGCGTAGTATTTTAGTGGAAGACCATGCCAGCAACACATTCATGATCTTCCTGGGCATAGGGCAATCGCCCCACTGCTGGCGTTTTGACGATCAATACAAGGTATGGCAGGCAGTGCGCCGGGCAGTTTCCTAAGTCATGTCATGTTCGAAGCAATAAGGTTGGCTAACATACCATTAGAAGCCCAGGCCAGCCACACTCTATATCTGACTCAAGATCTTCCTATGGCCTAAGCACAGACCCTGTTAAACTTAATATTTAGTTGTGACCCGTGCTTAACAGTTTACGGCCTAGGGTTGTAGCGTTTAGGATGATTAGTAATAAAGGTTAACAAGAGAAATCAATTGCGTATCTGATCTAACAGAATCACATGTATCAAAGGTCGTATGTTCTAGGTCTAGTTGCGAATTCTAGGATGTATACTATTACAGAAACAAATAACCACGTTTCAGTTCAAGCCTACATGACGGCTAGAATTTGACACAAAATGCTCTCCGTAAGGCCTGGAGATACATCTCTCAGCGCTCGTCAGCTCAGATATCAGGTATGTATATTACCCCTGTAATTTAGTTAGATGCTTAAGTTTAGTCAAAGCGTACTACTATCAGCATTTTGCAGACTCAGGCACTCGACATACAGCATCAAGGTTGAAGATTACACCGAAGCGACCAAAGATGCAGTAGAGAGTTCCAAAGTGAATCTGGAATAGTCTAAAGATAGCCCTAAGCTAAATGCATTTAGATTACCGCTAACACATCAATCTTTCATGCCTTGATGCGAAGTTCCACCCAGTGCTAAAAATGCAGATGGCAGCATAAATTGACCCTGAGGCAAACGAAGCCATTCTGCAGTACATTTATAGTCTAGTTTGTTCCAGCGCCGAAACAGTGTCTAATGAATCTTTATGCATTTCTTAGTTTACTTGGGTAAAGAGGAAAAAAAAAAAAACCTAGTATTGTATTAGCCTAGTCTGCATAACACTGAGAGAATGTTATAAAATTATAGTAATGAAGGTCCCTTTCAAGAAGAACCTGTAGATAATAGGAAGTAAATAAAAGTGTTTTTTTTTTCCTATTCCCAAGGTCAATATGAATACAGTATAATGTAACACTGTTGAAACCCGTTGCCTCATGAATAAGCGGACGCTATCGGACAGTATAGGAAATAATGTTTGAGCTTTTCCACTCACTAAAAGTGTAATAGATCGCTGAAAGAAAACAAGCAGGGGACGGTTGTCGCCTATGATCGACCCGCGACTCGTGTTGTCCGTCTTATGGTGGACGAGGACATCGAGCAAGGTAGTCTTTCCGGAGCCGGAGGAGCCCATCATGACGCCTAGCAGGTCCGGCTTGCTAAAAGTCGCCGAATAAATTGACAAAAATGGAATGTCGTATGGGGAAAAGTGTTTGAATCGTTTTGGTGGACCCATAGAACTTTGATGACGATGGTTATGGTGCTAGAATTACCAATACATCGATGGTTCATTAACCGTGCACTCGAGACAGCACAGAGTTTGTGCCTTCCGCAAGTCCGGCTACGAATCAAGCATTTGGAGATCAACCGCCCAAGTACTGGGATTGACTAGTGGCTAGACTTCAGTTCATTGGTTCGTAGACTGAGATCTACCATGTCTTGTTACTGTACACAGAATTGACAGCCGGCAATGCAGGGTTGAGTGTGGTGTCAATCATGGATTCATGGTTGTCTTCTTGGCACATCTCTTAGTTGTTACATGTGGGCCAATAGCTTTCGTGTGTGGCATAGAATGCACACTGGGGAATCGAAGGTTAAATACCCTTTGGTATCACATAAATTGTTAATTGATTTCCTTTTCAACTCACCTCAACGCGCTGCCCTGCCCTCCTCTTACCACTTCCTCTCAACACTAGCCCAACTCTATGTGATTTCACCATCATGTTGACTTTCAACCAGCTTCTTGAAAATTCGCAAGGGCCCAGCATCTTGCTTTTTGGCCCCCTCGCCCTTGACTTTGACCGTACTGGTTTAGAGAGGCTCTCTAAGGTAGTTGTAGGGAACACGGAGTTCGACTGGGTGCTTGAGACTCTGGGGAGCCTTCCTGAGTACTGGGAAACTGTTACTGCTTCGGTTCCGAGTTTAAAAGACTCCGACCCGAAACGGAAAAAGCAGCTACATGATTTACTCGAAGCCTTCCAGGGTTCCCAAAGATGGCCCGATATGAGTTGTCCTTTACCGAACACTCTTGTTGTGCCTGAGTTGAGTTATCCTTTACCGAACACTCTTCTCATTCCGCTTGTCGTCGCTTATCAGATCACACAATACACGGCATTCATCAACCATAAGAACGATAGGACGGGAGGCGATGTTGCCAACACGGAGACGCTCGGCTTGTGTACGGGACTTCTGGGCGCTTTCGCCGCCTCCAGTGCCGGTGACAACAAAGATCTTTTGACTAAGTATGGCGCTGCTGCTATGCGTCTCGGTCTACTTGTCGGCATGGTGGTCGATGCTCAGAACTCATTGGAGCCGACTAGATCTCTCAGCGTGGCATGGAACTCGGCCGAGGGTGGTGAAGAGGCGAGGCGAATTCTGGCGTTGGATGAGTTCCAGGGTGTAAGTTGCAACATTGCCGGATGCCAATTCCATCAACCTATTGAATCGATAGCACAAATTTGGAAACCCTATCATTCGGAAATTTCTCTATTCAATACTTTGTTTGCTAATGAGCTAACTAATCCTTTCAGAACTACGTCTCAGTCCACTTTGATGAGACACGCGCTACCGTAACAACCCCGGCAACGAGTATTCGGGCACTGCAGCAGCGGCTGCGTGAGTCGTCGCTCATTGCATCTGAAATCGGCCTTCTTGGACCATTTCATTCCAATCGCAACCTCGACTATCTGGACGCTCTATTGGAATTCACCGATAGGCACCCGGAGTTTCACTTCGCCGATGCAAGGGACCTTGTCTTTCCCACCCGGTCAGATAAAGACGGGTCTGTCTTGACCAACAACAGCTTGCATAAACAAGCCCTCGAGTCCATTCTTATTCACCCACCACAATGGTGGAAATCATTTAGAGCTGCCCAGGCTGCCAGTCTACAGAATAATGTCAACTACGACAACCCCATCGTCGTTGAGTTTGGATTGGAGCGTTGTGTCCCACCCTCTCTTATGCGTTCGCTTCGTCCGCATGTCATCCACCTGGCCGATCACGATTCTATAATGTTCGAGAGAGCTCCTCGGGGTGTTTCCCACTCAGACATTGCCGTTGTTGGCATGGCATGCAAGGTGGCTGGTGCCGATGGTCTCGAAGAGTTCTGGGACCTCCTCTGCACCGGTGAACCACAGCATCAGGAGCTCACGGGTCAGCGCTTCAGCTTCCAGACACCGTTCCGCCCAGCCGACCCCAAGCGCAAATGGTTTGCGAATCTGATCTCCGGCGCAGATCAGTTTGACCACAAATTTTTCAAGAGAAGCCCCCGCGAGAGCGCAACCATGGACCCTCAGCAGCGCTGGATGTTGCAGATTGCCTACCAGGCCGTAGAGCAATCTGGCTACTTCAACGCCAACAACCCCGAGAGGTCAGTCGGCTGCTATATTGGTCTGCGAGGGAACGATTATTACGATAACGTTGCGTGTCATCCGCCGAACGCATTCGCAGCGACGGGAAATCTCCAGGCATTCGTGGCCGGTAAGATTAGCCATCAATTCGACTGGACAGGACCAGCCATGACGATTGATACGGCCTGTTCTTCTTCCCTTGTCGCTGTTCACCAGGCGTGCCGGGCCATTCTTAGCGGAGACTGCAACGCTGCCCTCGCGGGAGGGGCTCACGTCATGACGAGCCCTGTGTGGTTTCAGAACCTGGCCGGGGCTTCGTTCTTGAGCCCTACTGGTCAATGTAAGCCGTTCGATGCTGCGGCTGATGGCTATTGTAGAGGTGACGGTGTGGGCGCTCTCTTTTTGAAGCGACACTCTCAGGCTATTGCGGACGGTGACCAGATATTGGGTGTCATTCCTGCGACCGCGGTGCAACAAAACCTGAACTGCACGCCGATATTCGTCCCTAACGCGCCATCTCTTTCTGATTTATTCAGTACTGTCACGTCTCGGGCAGGAATCGCTCCAGCCCAGATATCAGTTGTCGAGGCTCATGGGACCGGAACGGCTGTAGGGGACCCCGCAGAATACGGTGGTATCCGGAAGGTTTTGGCCGGACCCAATCGCAGCGGCCCTCTGGTTCTCGGCTCCGTCAAAGGCTTGGTAGGGCATACCGAATGTGCTTCAGGTATTGTGTCAGCGATCAAAATTCTGCTTATGATCCAAAAGGGCATGATCCCCCCGCAAGCGAGCTTCAAGACCATTAATCCTGCCATTGGAGCGTCGCCACAAGATAATATCCGCATCGCAACGAGCTTGGAGCCATGGCAAGAGGATTTCCGGGCAGCCTTGATCAACAATTACGGCGCTTCGGGTTCCAATGCTTCCATGATCGTCACTCAGCCGACCGGGAAGAGAGCAATGAACCCACCTGCTGTTGCTGGCAGATATCCCTTCTGGCTTAGTGCTTCTGACGACGATGCTCTCGCTCGGTATGCGAAAGTTCTGAAAAATTTCTTGGACGGCAAAGCGGGCAAGACTGCAGCCTTGGCAAACATCTCCTTCAATGTCGCCCGTCAAAGCAACCGTCAGCTCCAGAGAGCACTTGTTTTCACCGCGAAATCAGTGGATGATATAAGGCACATCTTGACATCAGTTGCGTCAGGGACTGGTTCTGGAGTCTTGCCGGTGGATCGACCAGTTCCAAAGCCGGTTGTTCTCTGTTTTGGGGGGCAGATCTCATCCTATATCGGCCTCGACAAGAACGTGTATGACCGTGTAGCAGTGCTCCGGAAGCATATCAACGAGGTTGATGCCAAAGCGAGATCAATTGGTGCTGGATCCATCTTTCCGGCCATCTTCGCACGAACAGCCATCACGGATACAGTAACATTGCAGACGGCTCTATTCGCGTTCCAGTATGCCTGTGCAAAGAGCTGGATTGAGTCCGGTGTCAAACCCGTGGCAGTTGTAGGCCATAGCTTCGGAGAACTCACTGCGCTTTGTGTTTCGGGAGCGCTTTCTCTCGATGACACTGTCAAGATGATTGTCGGTCGTGCCACACTTATCAGAGATGCTTGGGGGCCCGAAAAGGGTGCCATGATGGCAATAGAGGCCGATTTGAGCGAAGTTCAATCACTCCTTGACCAATCGGCTCAGGCGTGCCCTGATGCAGGGCCAGCTACTATTGCCTGCTATAACGGACCAAGAAGCTTCACGGTCGCTGGATCTGCTACCGCAATCGACGCCGTCGCAGATACGGTCTCGAAGCGCGGCTCGTCATCGTGCCGGGTCAAGAGGCTTAACGTGACCAATGCATTCCACAGTGCATTGGTCGATCCTCTCATGAAACGGCTTGAGGAATTGGCTCAAGAATTGAAATTCCGCGAGCCTGTGTTGCCTCTTGAGAGAACCTCGACTCTTACACCCGCGACGAGGATGCAGCCCAGCTATGTTGCCGAGCATATGCGCTCGCCAGTATACTTCTGTCAGGCCATTGAGCGTATCCATAGGAAACACCCTTCGAGCATTTTCCTTGAAGTAGGATCCAACTCGACAATCACCTCTATGGCTAGCCGTGCGCTTGGAAACCCAGATGGATCCCATTTCCAGGGAATCAACATCACCAACTGCGACGACGGCTGGGACAAGCTCACTGATGCGACAGTAAATCTATGGAAGGCGGGCCTCGCTGCCCACCACTGGGGGCATCATGCCTTGAATACTTCGGAACACACACCGCTTCTGCTTCCTCCCTACCAGTTCGAGAAGTCATCACACTGGATGGAACTCAAATCGAGTGCGCCGGCAGTCGATGTAGTCCCCCAGGCTGCACCCGTACAAGCCCCGCAGCCTCAGCGTCTGATAACCTTTGCTGGCTACAAGGAAGAAGGCAGCGATCATCATGTTCGATTCCAGATCAATACTGCAATGGCAGAATACCAAAAATCTCTTGAAGGTCATCTGATCGCGCAGGCAGCTCCTATATGTCCGGCTACGATCCAGACAGGCTTCGTCCTTAACGCCTTGTCTGAGCTGAGGCCCGAGTTGTCGAGTCTAGTGCCGCAGACGCACGATGTGAAATTCCTATCGCCCATCTGTCGCGACCCAGGAAGGTCCCTGTGGATTGATGCTATCGAGACGAAAGCCATGATATGGGATTGGACGATCTATAGTACGGGAGCGAACGAATACGATAAGTTGTCCCATACTTCGGGACAGCTGGAATTCCGCTCTAGTCATGATCATTCCCTCATGGCGGAACTTTCGCGGTATGAACGCCTCTTTAGTCATCAGCGGTGCGTCGATATGTTGAACAGCAACAATGTCGACGACGTCCTAGGGACACGAACAATCTACATGCTATTCTCGGATATAGTCGAGTACGGCGAGGAGTACAGAGGAGTCACGAAGCTCGTTGGAAAGGGCACCGAGTCAGCGGCGCAAGTGGTGCGCAAGAATACGCAAAACGAGTCCTGGTACGATGCTCACCTCGCCGACACCTTCTGCCAGCTCGGCGGTATTTGGGCCAACTGCATGGCTGCCGACCGTACACCGGGAGAAGTCTTCATCGCAAACGGTATTGAGCAATGGATTCGCTCGCCAAAAGTTCTGAAAAAACCCCCGCCACAAGCTTTCAATGTCTTCGCCGCCAATGCCCGGACATCCGACAAGGCGACACTCACCGACGTCTTTATTTTTGATGCTGCAGACGGATCGTTGTGTGAGGTCATTCTCGGTATTGGGTACAGCAAGTGCCAAAAAACATCGTTGCAGAGGCTACTGTTGCGTCTAACCGCTGGAAAACCCGAAGATGAGCTTCATGCCAGCGCTCCAAGTTCGAGCGCCATTCCGTTGCCGAGCACGGATCGACAGCCATTCCAGCAGCAAGAGGCTGTCGCCCAGCGCCCAGAGGCTGTTGCCCAGCGCCCAGAGGCTGTTGCCCAGCGCCCAGAGGCTTTCACAAAGCAGCCCGAGCCAATAAATACCACGAAGCCAAAGCAACAGCCCAAGAACGATGTGGTACCCCGAGTCAAGGCTATTCTGGCTGAATTGTCCGGCATTGAAGTAGCTGACATCAAAGACGACAGCCAGCTTGCGGACCTCGGGATAGACTCACTCGTAGGCATGGAGATGGCACACGAGATTGAAGCTGCTTACAAAATTACTCTTCCTGAGAGTGAGCTCATCGACATTGTCGACCTACCTGGACTTATCGCATTGGTCCAAAGGACTCTAGGGGGCGACAGCAATTCAGTCGACACACCTACGTCTCTTGATTCAAGTCTGGATGGTAGTTGGGAAATTGGCGAATGGGAGGCGAAGAGCAGATCAGATGCTGATGTATCATCGCGACCAACCTCGCCTGACACAATTACAGCCGAAAGCAAGGGAACCAGTAGATTGAGTACTGATTCCAGCACAAACTCGCTTCTTTCATTCGACGACGTTATGCATGCTTTCCAAGAGACAAAAACTCTGACAGATGGCAGAATCGCCGAACAAGGTCAGAAGGCCTATGTTGACGAGGCGCTTCCCTTGCAGACGAAGTTGACGATTGCCCTCACCCTTGATACTTTTGAAAAGTTGAACCAACCACTCCGAAGTGTTCCGTCCGGTACAACGTTGGCATTTGTGCCGCACAAAGAAGGGCAAGGGCATTTGGTCAGGTATCTGTATCGCATGCTGGAGACCGAGACGCAGACAATCATTGTCAACAGCAATGACACTATCACCAGAACAGCAGTGCCTTTTGCACAATCCAGCTCCAGCGAGTCAATCTATCGAGAGCTTACGACACGTTTTCCAGATCAGAGCACCGCCAACAAGCTTACCAAATACGCCGGCGACCACCTCGCCGAGGTGTTGAGCGGTAAAACGGATGGCGTAAAGCTCATCTTTGGCTCTGCTGAGGGGCGCGAGCTCGTCTCAAGCTTTTATGCCGACTGGCCACTGAATCAAGCTCTATACAAACTCATGGACGACTTCTTCATTCAACTAGGCAAAAAGCTCGGAAGAAACCCAAGCAGCGGCCCGCTCAAGATCCTTGAAATGGGCGCTGGGACGGGGGGAACAACCAAGCGACTGGTGCCCCTGTTGGCCAGTCTAGGCGTGCCTATCGAGTACACCTTTACGGATCTCGCACCATCTTTTGTGGCCGCCGCGCGAAAGAAGTGGGGCAAAGAGTATCCGTTCATGAAGTTCCGGACACACGATATCGAAAAAGTTCCTGACCAAGACCTGCTTGGGACACAGCACATTGTAGTATCCAGTAACGCCGTACATGCTACACATGACTTGGTCGTATCTACCGGTAACATACGCAAGATCCTCCGCCCTGAAGGTCTTCTCCTAATGCTTGAAATGACGCGCACGCCGTATTGGGTTGACCTTGTATTTGGGCTATTTGAAGGGTGGTGGCTCTTCGAAGACGGCCGGTCACATGCACTCACGCATGAGACCAGGTGGCGCAAAGACTTGCAGTCAGCTGGGTATGGTCTTGTTGACTGGACTGAAGGTTCAACAAAGGAGAGTGAGATTGAGAAACTGGTGATTGCTATGGCAGATCCATCTTCGTTGAGGTACGAGACAAGCGCCCGCACGAGCTTTTTGCCGCCCATGAGAAGCGAGTCCACTGACTGTGCTGCTCGACAGGCTGTAGTGGACCGATTCATTACCAATCTAGTCGAGGGCTATGATCTGGCAGCGGCAGAGGATTCTGCGTTTCTGGAAAATTCGTCATCATCAACTCCAGGCACGACAGTTTTGATCACTGGCGCTACAGGAAGCCTTGGGTCACATCTTGTGGACATCTGTGCTTCGATCCCATCTACAACTCGGGTATTCTGCCTCAACAGGCGATCCAAGGATGAGAGCGACCCAGAAAAGCGTCAGAAACAAGTCATGGCCGAGAGGGGTATACCAATCAACGGACAAGCTGCAGCCAAGTTGGTGGTTCTCGAGGCAGACCTTTCCAAGCCGCTCCTTGGGCTGACAGGAAAAGACTATGCGCAACTTGTCAGCAGTACTACACACATTATCCACAACGCTTGGCCCATGTCTTTCAAGTGGCCCGTTCAACGCTTTGAGCCAAGTCTAAAGGGCCTGCTGAACTTGTTGATACTTTCACGACGTGCAACAAATTACCGTCGCCACCATCACGACCCTGCCTTCAAGATGACGTTCCAGTTCATTTCAAGTATTGCCGTAGTGGGCCATTACCCTCTCCGTACCGGAAAAGCGGCAATTCCAGAGGAGCGCATGTCATTGTCATCTGTACTACCCACCGGCTACGGCGATGCCAAGTACATCTGTGAGTGCTTGCTGGACGGAACGTTGCACAAAGACTCAGGTCGATTTCACGCTATGAGCGTGAGGCTGGGGCAGATTGCTGGAGCTAGCAAGAATGGTGTCTGGAGTCCGTCAGAGCATGTGCCTTTCTTGATCAAGTCGAGCCAGACACTTAAGGCACTGCCGGACTTTGGCGAGGGAAGTGTTATGAGCTGGACGCCGGTGGATATCGTGGCAAAATCGTGCGTCGACTTGCTTTTCCAACCCACGTCAGGGGAGAAAAAGAATGGGCAGACCTGCTATCCATTTTACAATATCGATAACCCGATTCGGCAGCCATGGAGAGAGGTGATGAGAGTCTTGGCTGAGGAACTTGTGCCGGGAGACATCTTGAGTGTTGTGCCGTTCGAAGACTGGATACGACGTGTCAGAGACTTCAGGCCACCGCCAAGCTGCGGTCGAGAAAAGCCTGGGCCTGATATGATGAACCCAGCGAGTTTGCTAGCTGATTTCTTCGAGAATGACTTTAGGCGTATGTCCTGTGGTGGCGTATTGCTTGGTACTACGCAGACAAGAGAGCATTCGAGAACGTTGGCCGGGTATGGCGCTGTGGATAAGGAGTATTTGAAATTGGTGTTAAGGAGTTGGCGTGAAAGGGGATTCCTTAAATAGTTTGTCTCTGTTATAGAGCAGGGCTGCTAAGAAGTTCCGAAACTGGCTGGTAAATCATTAGCTATAGTTAGTTATGTTGCTGTTGTATTGCATTGAGGGCTTGGAAATCTGGAAAATCAACGATTCAGTTAGATTGACAAATTTGGAGCGTGAGCTTGCGAATCCTATATTGTTAAAAAACTGGAAATGAAACTAGAGATCTTTTCTGTCTATTGATTTTCTACTATCAGCATTCGTAATTGGTGCATGTGACTTGAATAACTTTGTTCAAGCTTCGCGCTGACTTCTCATGAGTGTTTATATCAAAGAAAGCCCCTCTAGAGCCTCAGAGGGATTCTGCTAATACGTATATATAATGTTTTGAGTAATGGTGGCCCTTAGTCAGAATACGCTATCCTAGGAACAACTTTGTAGGCGTTCTCTGAGGTCAACTAACAGCCTTGAAGTTTGAGAAACCTATCGCTTCGCAATATACCTTCAAGATTAACTTTTTTGGCGTCGAACTATTACGAATTTTCTAGAAATGCAACCATACTTCTTTTCTCGGTATCAGTCATCTAAGCCACAGCATCACAGACCTAAAGTTCATCGTGGTTTAAGCTTACCGTTTTACCATTCCCAATGCCGCCAAAGTTTGACAACACTAACCCAAAGCCCACTCTGTTCTGATGGCGCTTTCCAAAGTCAACTCTAGCGTGACTCTCTGTGCAGTCAAAGGACTCCGTGTTTTGATTGCACACAATGGCCAATAAAGGGCCAAGCTTCGCATTAGTGAAGAATATATGGCTGTAATACTTTTCAGCTTCTCTGACTCTTGGCCCCTCAGTGTTTTTTTACCGTGTTATACAGTCCTGTGCACAGCCCAGGGGTGTTGGTCACGCAGAGGCTGTAATGAGTTAATGTTGTCGCAATTCTTTTACCGTTGGATATTAGATCAACCAAAATCGTGTTATTTTAGGCCCTTCTCGAAGTGTCCCAACACCAACGCATTAGGTTGATTGATATTCCCTAAGGAGCTCTTTGGTTATAGCCCCGGCTAATTCCTAAGGTGGAATCATCTCGATCAAGAAGCCGCTAGCAAGCTGAGACGCAGCATCCACGGACGTTTGGTTGAGACCTTGACGAACCAATGGGGAACTCGCTGGGGTCTTTTGTGCTGAGATCAGCTCTCGGAAGCACCGAGCCAGCCCCTTGTCGCGCCGCGTTAACCGCTACCATTTCAGGTAACTAACTTGGGCAAAGGTGCATCCACCCTCAAGACCTTAACATTCAGCCTTGATGATGACTGTTAGCTTTAAAGCGGCCAACAGGTAAAATCCCTTTCCCTATTGCCTCACAACTTCGCCCAATGTGGGCCTTTCAACAAACGTTAATGTTAAGATTATCATTACAGCCATGGCTGCAACTCAAGCATCCCATCCATGCAAGCGTGTTCTTAACCGGAAACAGCCCTTTGGATCCAAAGTTCGCAAGAAGGGTTGATCTAAAAAAAACCGACAATGCTCTCGTCGCTCCCAGTGTTGTTGCATTATAATGAATTCAATGTCAAGGAGCCAAATGCTAGGTCACAAGAGGTCCAGTGGAGTGCCGCATCACAGATCAACCAAACGACTAGGGATCGCTAAGTGGTAGTATTAGCCTCGTAAGTGCGTCTTACTGATATTGCAGTCTTGAGGAGGGCTTGCGACTTTACAGGTGTGCTTGTAAAAGGCACGCTAAGTCCTAAAATGGACACAGTGCATGTAGTCAATTTGATGCCTTCAAAACTTATCTTATCCGTAAGAGGACGGTCATTGTAGGAACCAAGTTAGCTAGGCTGTATCTAGGTCGTTGTGTTACAGTGGTTTCATTGTTCATTATGAATCATATCTTGTCAACGACTAGGAAGAGGATATCGTTGGTGGATTTCTACAATAGGGTTACTCTATGGTCTTGAAAAGCTAAGGACTATCGGTGATAGGCTATGACTCATGAGGGCCGCAGCTGCACAGCCATCAAGCCACTGCAATCAGTGAAGGATCTAATTTATAAGTATTGCAGGAGCATATTTTGACATAGCAGCTATAAAATAAGAAGAGAATCTGGCTAGCCATTGTTAGATAATTCTACATCTAAGCATAACAACATCGTCATATTTTAACGCAGACTCCAACCAAAGCAACTTATTATTCCGTTACTTAGCAACACCTACCACTTCAACTAGAACTACACCAGTCCGAAACCCCCCAAATGAGTTTCTTACCGAGCTCGGGAACCGTTTCTATGGAAACTGCTTCCCGTGGATTGACTGACACTCCCGAACCGGTTATGCCACCGTTCACGTCTGGACAATGTCTATTCTGTCCTAAATTCTCGCCAGATTTCACCAACAGTGTAATACACATGCAAAAGTCACATGGCCTGTTTGTTCCATCTCAGCAACATCTGGTAGTCGACCCTGAGACACTTTTCAAATATCTGCATCTGATTGTTTTTGGTTATCGAGAATGTTTGCAATGCGGAAGACAAAGAGCTACGGTGCAAGCTATACAACAGCATATGACTAGCAAGGGCCATTGCAAATTCGACATTTCAGAGCAGGACTCGGAGTTTACCGAGTTTTATGACTTCTCTGGGCCGAAAAACGACATAGAGAATGGGGGCAAGGGCAATGGCCAGGAGGAAATTCAAAAGGAGTCATCAGCAGGCTTAAATCGAAAGTCACTGCTGGTCGATGAAGACTCATTGCTTTTACCGTCAGGGAGAATTGCGTCAAAGAAATTCTCAGTAAAACCGGCCCCTCCCTTTTCTCGATTCCTTCGTCAATCTCGGGAACTGTCTTCACAACCTAGACATGCTCTGGTGAAACCTGACACCGACAAGGGGTCTAGCAAAGTGCAACTCAACCCTGGCATGCGCAACATACAACCTCTATTGAAGAGAGAAGAACGGAACCGGGCAGATGCGTCGTATCACAAGGCGAATATGCAAGCAAAGGACCGAAGGACGTTGATGCACTTGTCGCCTTCTCAACAGCGCTCAATGATAACGACACAACATAGGTGCGAGGAGAAAACGCAAATAAAAGAGGGAAGAAAGCAGACCAGACTTGATCAAAAGGGTAATAAGAATTTGTATGCATATTGGGCCACTGAAACGCCCGTTTACCAGTGTGGCTAGTCATAGCGATAAATTGCATTACAAAACTTGTATTATTGGTCTTTTCCTAAAGACTTTTCTGTATCTTTCCGATTAGAAAGGATGGGTGAACTTTACTAAGATTGTTTTCGTCAACTTATGTTTTTTGTTATTTAGCTTGGCAAGAGGTTTGAAGAGGACCAGGACACTACCTCTACACCACACTAACTTCAAGCAAACCCTACTGCTTATCTTGCCCAGTTTATCTTGCCCAGCCCAGACATTGGAGCAAAAAATATTACGAAGGGCATTATTTATTTTCCTCTATTAGATAACACGAAGTCTGGAGTGTTGGCCTCCGTGGATCTAGTGAAGCGGACAAGTACTTGCCTCCATGAACGCCTGTTCGCGACAGGGGGTTATAAAACCCACCAGTGAGGCCCCTAGGCAACATTCAGCTAATGTCAATTCTGGAATGTGAACGGCTCATACAGGAACACTACAGAGATTAGCTACTGAACCCCGCGTACAAAATGTATTACCTGTCAATTCAAGCAGGAGTTATGACTAAATTCCTAGGTCATGGAGAGGAGTAGCGGTTATTAATCTAAAAGGCACGTCTACTCTAATACACTTCACACCACCCTGCGTGTCTTGGATTTAACGAACAAATTATATGATAGGCCGGGAGTGGTGGAATTACTGCGCAAAAATTACCCATGGTTATATTATCAAAGCTGTGTTGCAATATGGTTTCTGACTGGTGGGAAAACTTTGTACAAACTAGCTCTAAAATGCAACTATCCCTATAGCCTAATAGCTAAGTCGAGATGCAGACTTACTTCTCCCGACAATGCAAAATATCCAGATACGTATTATATTGTTCCTACTTATAACTTTATAAAGAAACATATCCTATGGGTTCAGTCTCTGTCTCTTATATCATTCATCTTTTTGCAAAGGTTATGGTCAGTGAACCCCTCAAATCAAAACATTCTATCTTAGTTCGAGATGCGGGCTTCCAGCATTCTACTTGGTTTGGGCTTGGTGATAAGCGCTGTTGCGCAAAGTCGGATCAAAATCTGTTAGTCCATGTGCCACTTTCTATGAAATGTCCCACCTCTGACAACTTATCTCCTTAGTGCCTCTTGGCGACTCTATCACCGAGATCACATGCTGGCGAGCATTGGTTTGGGACATGTTAGTCAAGGAGAACCTTGCTAGCCAGGTAGATTTCGTTGGCACCATGAGTAATAACCCAGCCAATTGTCGGGCTCAGTCAGGGTCATTCGATCTCAACCACGAAGGCCACTCAGGATGGTTGTCTATCAATATTGCCAATCAGTATATCCAAGGATGGCTCAACACATTTAAACCGGACATCGTTCAGTTCATGCTTGGCACAAATGACGTTTCCAATGGTCGGGCAACGGGCGACATTATCGCATCTTACACAAAGATCGTCGGACTGATGAGACAGTCTAACCCCCGGATGAAAATTGTGGTCGATCAACTGATACCGCTGTCTTACAACATGAACGGAGTCAATGCTGTGAACGCGCAAATCCCTAATTGGGCCCGATCTCAAAACTCCACCAGCTCGCCCATTCTGCTCGCCGACTGCTCCACGGCTGCTGGCTATACACTTGCAATGAACAAACAGGATGGCGTGCACCCCAACCAGCAAGGGGATCAATTCATTGCGAATAAGGTTGGACCATTGCTGATCAAACACATCAAGGATCTCATTAAAGAACGAGGACTTTAGTATGGGTCCAAAGTTTGTCGAAAGTTTGAGGAGACCAATCAGCGCATGGATTCTAGTTTTCAAGTCTTGCAACCCATGCAATTCATTAACAAAACGTCTAAATTGTTCATCTAAGCTCAACATACAATGTAAGCTTTGATTTTCAAGTAGTTAGAGTAACTGCCTAGTAAGGCGTCAAGTTTGCAGTACCCCTGCGCATACCGTTTGGATGCCAGTATTTGTGCTCTTTATTTTTCAAGTACAGAGTCTCGCTTTAATAGACATGTCTGCATACGGAGTGTGGGTGATGAGAATGTGATAATTTGGGAATTTATCAAGCAAGCCACCTGCGCATCCACCACTGAGTATTAACTTATCTAGAATTACAAGACAACACAATGTCTGTTCCTATGACCAACTGCTACATCAAGAGAACTATGGCTACTTGCGCGGCACTTCGCAGAAGACTCTAAGTCCTAGATTAGGCATTGAAGAACGCTCTATGAGACACTGACTCAAGGGCAGTAAGCAGAATTGTCCGCTTTGCTAACTGCACCCTTGGCTTGTTCAATGCGCTACATATTTGGTGCATGGCCGCACGGGTCGCCCTCGCTCTCGCTCTCGCTCTCTCTTTCTCTCTTGCGCATTTCCAGCTCGGAGCCTGCCATTGTCTCCTGCACTACAGCTTCTATTAATACTCGAAACACAGGTTTTTTTTTGTTTTTTTTTATGACTGTCACGGACCACTTTTTCGGGTACGAAAAGTCATAGGGAAACGGCTTAGATGTCTACGTGTAAGACTTCCTGGCCCGAAAAGTAGACATACGTATCTTTGGGGTGGATTGGGGTACTTGGTGCCGAATTATCAGATATTCCGGCGGTGAAATCTCGCAAAGCTGCGCGGTGGCATGAGGGCATCGCGACATTAATCTCTCTGAGCCCTATGAGTTGGGCCAACCCAATTTAACCAGTAATATATCTGTTGGAACAAATGGCATCATTAATATCCTGCAGGGATATCTGGAACCAGAACAACTGGGACGCCGGTTACAGCCCCTATATATATCGCCCATCCGGCCAGAACCCCTCTTCTAGATTCCTTCTACTCTTCGGGCAATAGTAGATAATCAATCAAAGATCTATTGCTCCAACCAGCCGAAAGGCTTTGCCGTTATTGGCACCCACCTGTTATACCAACAATATCAAAGCCCCAATACACTTAGCCCTATGTTTAAAACCTCTGGCCTGCACTGTGTCTCAACGCGAAGGAAAGTTACTACAAGTAGAAATGCAAGAAGAGTCCACAGAGAGCACGGGTTACATTAGTCGCAGGGCAATCATTCTCTACTAAACATAGTATTGTAGATAGGATGTTTTTTTGTTTTTGTTTTTTTTTTGCGCATTGACACCTGGAGTTATGCTCGGGGACAGTCCAAAAAGGGAATTAGCCCGACATATGACTAGGGGAATATCGATAATGACCTTCAGAAGTTTGGTTACTGTGGGTCATTCACGCATCGGCGAGGTCGTACTACATATTGCTGACAAGCTTCTGACTGCTAATATCCTACCTAATTAGGAGTATTTCCCGTCAACCACTCCCCATCAAATCCACCCAGGGGTGAATAGCAATTTCGCGTTCCGCACATATAACTGGATTTGGCATGCTAGACAGCATGAGGCGCAAAAAAGGGATGACGCGAGCCAATGCAGGCAGTAGATGATTCACATCTGATGCCTTCAAGTAGAACTTAAACAGGCCCGCTCCTTCACTTTCAAGACATCCGTAAGCTCCCTTCTTCGGTTGTACAAACTTCGTTACTGTTCTATTGAGGAACCTTCCAATCTTTTGTTTGCATCGTGTCCATTCGCCCATCATGAATATCGGGTCTATGCTGTTCCTATGTTTTGCATTCACAGCAGATGCATTTGCTGTGCGGCGTAGTGCAAATGATTGGTCTGCGCCGAATGTCGCTGATCGTAAGGCTTGAATCCAATAATTACGAAGTCCGTGTCTAACAAGCACCAGGCCGCAGCCCGTGCCCCATGGTTAACGCTCTGGCCAACCATGGGTATCTCCCTCGCAATGGGTTGAATGTCTCTCTTGCAGACCTCATTACTGGTTTTACAGCTGCCGTGAATTTGGATCCCGCTGCAACCACCCTGGTTGGACAAAAAGCCCTTCTCACTTCTACTACTGGAAATAACGCGACATTCAACTTGGACGATCTCAACACCCACGGGAGTGAGTTTTCGTTTTTTCCATTACCAGCTCGAAACTGACGGCCGTATCACACTAGTTATCGAGCATGACGGGAGTTTAAGTCGCAACGACATCTATTTTGGCGACAACCACTCGTTCAACCTGACTATTTGGGAGTCTGTGGCGTCTGACTTTACTGATTCAACTATCTCGATTCCAACAGCCGCGAAAGCCAGAGTAGCACGTCTTCAAGCCGCTGCCGCTGCCAACCCGAAATTCAATCTTACAGCCGATGGTACTCAATTCAGCTTCATCGAGACTGCTCTCTATCTGTCTGTATTTGGCAACTTGGACGACGGCAATGCCAGGACAGAATGGGTTAGAGTGCTTTTTGGTATGTGTCCACGATCCCTGGTTAATCTATTAAGCTCACAACGTGTAGAGAAAGAACGTCTTCCCTTCGAAGAAGGTTTTTCTAGGTCGGCTTCACCAATTACTGCGGCGGGCATTCTTGGCTTGGTAAACAAGGTTGCGGCCGCAAGTATTTAGCATGTTTGGTCTATGGAGTTTATTCTTGTTTCTTCAAATAAAGGCAGTGTTAACGGACTTACATCAGTCTGGCTCTCGTATAAAGCACACCTTGAAATTATTAGAATGAAGCCTGCTGGACAAGACTTGACAGGATCTATACCCAAGTACAAGGATAATTTGTTTCTATAAGGGAAGTGTCTACCTAATATTGTTCAAGTCTGCAACTTTAACAAATCTTTATCTGCCATGAGTTTAGGGAGATCTTATGCAAGCTACTTCAGACAAATACAGAATCAAAGTTTACATCTAGAGTACAGCACATTGCTGGACAATGATTACGGGCGTAAATCATAGTATTGTAACATACTGTAGACTTATTTCAGAGCAATGCAGTCAAAACTATACACACAAAGCTAGTATTTATAAATTTTATTAATTTAATTTTTAACTTATTGTATTGGAGACAATTCTCAATTTTGTATAAAAAGACCTTCGGTAGCACATAAGTAAGGCATTTTTATAGCTTTCTTAGCTATGTGTAAATACTTTGCTAAAGAGGTTGTTTAAATTGCTTTCTATGCTCTACTTGCTTATGAAGTCACAAAGGAAACTTATGTGTCGTTCAAACGCATCTACAGGCAAGTTACGCGCCAGGAATAATACAGCTTTTGTACACACTCGCTGTAGGTAATTAGTTAAAGTTATGTCGTCCGAGAAAAGGTTTCATACAGGATATTGCCTAAGAAAGGCATGAGAGTAACCTAGAATGCACGGTCAGTCTAGAACGTTCACCCTCCATCCCCACGTCGCCCCACCATTTCTATTGTCAACATAGTAAGTCCCCAAAACGGTCTTAACCTTTCGCACGTGAGTATATGACCTCACGATTTCAAAAGATCATGTGCCCGTGCTGCACGAATAGTAATATCTGCAATTGCCTGGAATTTTGAGATCATCTACCGAAAGTACCTGTGGAATACCTCTAGTGTTTCCGCAACTGACGAGCCCGAGATCAACTCAAGCTTGCGAGGACTACGAAACACGTCAGGCTGACAACCTCGGCTGTATTTTGCGTTGCGGGCAGCTGGGTGCAGGCGATCGACATGAGCCTCAGAAGAAGTGAAACATTGTCACAGTCGAGACCGGAGCTCTGCATCCTGACCAAAGCGTAATGCTGTCGGCTGCGTCAACAATAGGAGGTGGCAAAGTTTGCCAATGCTTCTGAAATGTGTGACTTGCTGTCCGAGCTTATCTGACAGCGGGTTGAAACACGTGAAGGCGAGACTGCCGAGGGACATAATCAGATGAAACTATATATGAGGCGTGGAAATCTGTCGTTTCTGTTGATAAAGTGTTGTCCGACTGGCGACGTACGCATTGTTAAAAAGAAGAAGGAAAAAAAAAAGAAAACTTGCGCTTTTACCTAAAAATGTCTTTGACTATCACTGCGACTTCCGCCCCCTCACCTGTGAGGGTCGAAAGGCAAGATCCTATGAAATCGACCTGGAGACGAGGCGACAGACGTGACTGGAAATTTGGCAACTTCCTCATCGAGAAGCTCGGTCTATACCACGATGAGCTAGATCGGCCGGCACCCGTCCACGCCAAAGGAGATCCCGTTCCATATATGCCACATTGGCAACTTCATCGGTGGATTCTCCTGCACGCCACGATTCCTCTCCTCATTCACCAGGCAACAGTCTCCCTGACTGGGTACAAACTCCATCCGGTTGCTGCCTTTATATTCTACAGTACTGCCATCAAGTTAATCGCCATTCATCAAATCAACACCCTGAGAGCAGTCGGTCAGCGTTATGGCTACCTCGATGGCGACAAACACGAGCGTGATGGCGTACCAGACAATAGTGTCCAAACCGTCCTGCGTTCTCTTATCTCTACGGCGACATTCAGGGCGATGATGGCAGTTATCTTGGCATATCGAAGCAATGATGCCCCAAGCACAATCAACTGGAAGCTGCTACCGTTGGAGATTGGTTTATATGGGATCGTGCTGGACTTTTGGTTCTACTGGTACCATCGGCTGATGCACGAGGTTGATTTCCTGTGGAAATATCATCGGACTCATCATCTGACTAAGCACCCAAACCCTTTATTGACAATTTTTGCCGACAGCGAACAGGAGTTTTGGGATATTGCTGGGATACCATTCCTGACGTGGGCTACACTGAGACTTGTTGGGTTTCCAATGGGATTTTACGAGTGGTGGTTCTGTCAGGAATATATCATTTTTACAGAACTGACAGGACATAGCGGCCTTCGCATCTGGGCTACCACTCCTAGTCCATTCGCATTGCCCCTCAAGTGGTTCAAGAGCGAGCTTGTCCTGGAGGACCACGATCTACACCATCGAAAGGGGTGGAAAAGCAGCGGGAACTACGGGAAGCATACGAGGCTATGGGATCGTGTTTTCGGGACTTGTATGGACCGAATAGAATGCGCGGAAGGTGCGGCGGACTACAAAAATACCGCAGTGATGCCGCTACTTTGAGGTTATTCGCGTGGTGTTCTCAGCTACCATAATGTTTACAGCGAAATGCATTTTGGAATCACAGCTAGGTAGCAGAATCGGCTATCTACTGCCGATTTTTTGTGGATTTGAGCAGACCTGGATGTATTGATAAATGGATGTTCTATAAAATGAGATTCGTCCTACATATCGTTATCATCAGATCGTCGACAGTCGTGCCTCTTGATGTGTACATGAGTTAGTCGCCTCATAATGGTGACATAGATCTATCAAGCATGTAGTTGACCCTCATACTTGCAATAGAAAATAGTCAATGAGCAGCTAATAGTATTCACACTAGACACATTTTTCTGGTATATAATAAAATATCGCGTTATCTATAATTTATCCAGTATTATATTCCTCATCTCAGTCGTATCCCCCGGCCCTCGTAGAGAATCTGAAATCTTGAGAATTAGAGACTATACTGCAAAATTGGCTTGCTGAAGAGCTACTGAAGTAAATCTTTAGGGGGTTGATGTCTAATCCGTATGCGAAACTGTCCACCAAGAATTTAATGTAAAAACAAGCGATGACGGGAATAGTGAGTTTCAGTATGTTCTCGTCAGCATAAGTTCTAAACATTCTTTCTCACCAGTTTCATAAATCCTTAGATGTAGCGTCGATGTCGCCGGACGACGAGTGAGAGGTTATATTTGTTGGGATTTGAGGAACTCAAGACTCTAATTATATCTAGACAAACCATCACCTTGCCGATATATTCCTAGAATCAACTACATTCATACGCCCTGTGGCTCATCACACATGCGAAAGGTCAAAGCGAGAAGTGTCCACTACGTTAGGCGAAGACAGGCATCGCCGTGGATCATCTAGACATACACTGTTAGCAGGCTAAAAAATGCTTCATTGAACCATTAACCCTTTTGAATTTTGGAAGATGACTTTGAACTGAGGTGAGAGTCAGGGTTGACTTTCTATCAATAACCCTACGATTTGGGACTCGCCGCATCCTCGCAGGCTTTGTATTCTGGCGCCTGTCCACTGTCGCATGCAGCACCTAGTGCCCGTACCATGTTTCTTTCCAGTTTTCAACAATAGTTAATTTGGTTTCCAGTATATGGCAGTTGGATGGCACCAAATTGTACTGCGGCACTTGGAGACAAACTTTAGGGGCGAATGTCTACTCCGGTTTGTGATTGCTGTCCCTCCCTGAAACACTGGCCACTTGGGAATTGACCCAGACAAAGTTTGGCATGCCTACGAATTGAGGACTCGGATTGAGGACTCGGATTGAGGACTCGGATTGAGGACTCAAGCTGTCGCCATTAGTAACGATCAAGGACTTAATTACTGCTTCCAGAATTCATCCCTGTGTTCCTCGAAAACAAAATTTTACTCGTCGCCTGCGGGCCACTTAATTGGCCTCAAACACGTGATTTCCACCACCCTTGTATTAGCTTGTAGGCATTCTATTTTCGCTCTCTAGCCGACATTATCTCCGTAGGGTTCAACTACGCCCATCGTAAATCCGAGCCCGCAATCCACGCATGCTCAAACCGCCGAGCTTTCGACATATATATCTGGCGGTCACCTTTCCATGTCGCCGTCACTTAACATCTAACCACTTAGAAGGATTAATATAGCCAACAATCATGTCGTCCGAACCGGTCTCATGGTTGTCGCGGCTTGGGGAAGAGAGTGGCTTCGCCTCTATCATTGAGTCCTGTCGCGACACCAAAGTACTTTGTTTACAGCGTTTCGTCCGACTTTTTGCCTACGGGGCCTCTTTTCTCATTCTCGTTCACTTTCTCTCCAGTCTCAACTTCTCTGACGAGCGAATCGGCCTGTTCATGACACTCACGCTTCTCGGGGATGTCTTCATCAGCTTCTTGCTGACAGCAATCACCGACCAAGTCGGTAGGAGAAAGGTCCTTGGAGCTGGTGCGGTTTTGATGATGATGAGCGGTCTGGTCTTTTCATGGGCTGACAACTACTGGATTCTGGTTGCCGCTAGTATCTTTGGTGTCATAAGTCCAAGCGGCAACGAGATTGGCCCTTTTCGCGCAGTCGAAGAGTCGATCCTCGCGCAGCTCACGGTACGCGACAAGCGAAGTGACATCTTCGCTTGGTATACTCTATTTGGCTCCGCCGGCGCTGCCTTTGGTACACTTACATGCGGTTGGGCTGTACAATTCCTGGAGCACAACGAAGCCTGGACTCCTCGCGAAGCATACAGAGTCGTGTTCCTCATCTACGCCGGCCTTGGTGCGCTGAAGTTGATACTCATTCTCGGCCTCACATCTGGTGTCGAGGCAGCACCACTCAAGTCCGACAGTGCACTTGCACGAGCCAGCGGAGAGCACCAACCGTTGGTCGCTGATTCGGGCAGGAGAGAAAATCATCCTCGACAGTCGACAGAAGAAAGTCGTCCTTTCCCAAGCTTATCGGAGCGTATGCGGGCTTTGGTACCCTATATATCTCCGCTCTCTCGGTCTATTCTATTCCGATTACTCCTCCTGTTCTGCATCGACTCCTTCGCCTCTGGAATGGCCTCGCCCTCTTGGTTGACCTACTTCTTCACCACGGTCCATTCACTTCACCCAGGATCACTGGGCACACTATTCCTGGTAACAAATCTCCTCGCCACGATCTCCAATATCGCCGCTCTTCCCCTTGCCCGTCGTCTTGGTCCGCTCAAAACCATGGTGTTTACACATTTACCCTCGGCTATCTTCCTTATGATGATACCGTTGCCCTCGGCTAGCCCTCTAGGAACTTGGGTTGCCATGGCTTTTTTGGCTCTCCGAGCTTGTACACAGAGTATGGACCAGGCACCAAGACAAGCATTCCTCGCCGCTGCCGTCCTTCCAAGCGAGAGAACGGCCGTTTTGGGCGTAGTAAATACTGTTAAGACATTGGCACAGGCAGGCGGCATTGGGTCTGCAGGATTTCTCTCGGGAAGACATCTTTGGATTGTCATCCTTTCGGGAGCTGGAGTTATGAAGGCTGTCTACGATCTTTTGATGCTGGCAATGTTCTTAGGTCTTAGAGATAGGGAGGCAAGCACCACAAAGTCGCGTTCAAGGGACGAGGAAGATCTGTAAGGGACCGAGAAAAACGTTTCCAAAACTAAAGGAGGGCTTGATAGCTTTTGAAACCATGATTACTCGTGTCGGAGACGTGCTGTGACTAGTCCAGCCGTTTCACGCCATCTTTTCGCACAATAGCCTCTAGTCTAGGCAATTCAAACTTCCTGTAAGCAAGTTCATCCAATAGCCACTCCCCAAAGAGCAGTCTTGCCAGCCAGACCGATCCAGCCATACCTCCAGCCCAGAACCAATTTGTCGCACCACCAAGCCAGCCGCCCAGCCAACCCTCTCCTTTCAATGCCTCTGCAACAAGCTGCTGCGCAAAGTCTTCCGTTGAAACAGTGGCGTTGTTCTGAGAGAAAGTCAGGCGCTTGGAGTAAATATCTTTAGCCTGTGCGTAAAGGGAGTTTGACGGCAATTCGCGGTTCAGCTTCGCGATTTGGCTCTTGACGGTTCCGGTCATAGAGATCATGACGCGAACACCAAAGGGACGCAACTCTTGACGAAGGGTGCGGCTGTAGGAGTTCAGGGCTCCTTTGCTGGCCGTATACACCGAACCGAAGACATAAGGCGAGATTGCAGAAAGGCTACTAATCATGATGATAAGACCCCGAGTTGGGATCAACATGGGCACGAAGGCCTGGACCATGGCCATGACGCCAAAAACGTTTGTTTCAAACGTCTGTCGTACCTCGTCCATGTTGATGTCGGTAGCCGGAATTGTGTGGGTAACGCCACTATCGAATTGTCAGAGTTGTGCGTTCTACGTATCCGGTTTACCCGGTATACAGTGTGCGCTTCAGCATGATTGCACCTCTAGTCTAGGGTAGGCTTACGCATTGTTAACAAGGAAGTCAAGACGGCCTCCTGTTAGTTCCGCAACACTCTTCTTGCAGGTGGCTATGCTCTCGGAATTGGCCACATCTAGCGGTAGGGTCGACAACCCCAAGTCGCTCAAGTCTTGGAGGACTTCGGGTCGACGGGCCGTTGCGATGACATGAAGGCCTATGAGCGAGTTCTTGTGAGTATAATAGTGCTTCAACTTCAATGCTAATCGTCGAAGCAAGGGCGCTAAATGGAAGGTTGAAACGCTGACACCACCCACCTTTGGCGTGAAATTCCTTGGCCAGGGCATGGCCAATCCCTCCTGGGGTGCAGCTATGGAATCGCGTCAGCACTAGAGCCTCGGGGCGGCCAATGTTGTTGTGGGGGTCAGGGATGAGATTGAATGAGACAAGATTTTGCTTACCCAGTGATTAAAACTGTCTTGGCATTTGCTGGGATACCCATTTTGCCTATGATGCGACCGGTCGTTAATGTTAAAGATGAGGAAGAAACTTGCGAGTGAAGGGAGCGCGTTCTAGGTAAATAGACGTACAAGACCCTCGGACTGTTGTTTAGCAAGCATTCCCCGGCATTACGTCATCCTGATTGGTCTGGCATCACATGTAGACCGTGCATGCCTACAGATAGTTGCGGACTTCCACTAAATTGACATCCCCTAGACCTCGGTTAAGTCCTTAGTAATGCCACAAAGAAATTACAGGGAATAACTACCAAAGGGGCCTTGCTTTCACTGTAGCTTAGACTGATAAGAAGCTTAGAATGAATAGGTACTTCACTAGAAAGGAAAAGTGTGGTGGGACAAGTTAGATTGGCAGCTAACGATCCAATTAAGGGACGCTCTATCTAGACTCAAGAAAAGGGGATACTACTGTTATTACAGTAAAGGACGAATCCATATATTATATAATACAAGCAATCCTGACTGCAATATTATTACTTTATCCTTTTGGGGCTCTTTAAAATTGCTTAATCTTTTTTCTTTTCTTCATTTTGTCTTCAGGCTAAATCTAAGAATCGCTAGATCTGTCTGTTTGTGTGTGTTTTATTAGGATTTGAAGAGCTTAGTTAGAGGCTGGGGTAGTTGTTACCCCTACTTCTTCCTCCTTCAGACAAGTGGCCTACGCACTTCCTTAAGAGCTATTTCGGGGTTATTCCTAGGCAAATAGGAGATATATAAATCATTTCTTGGCCTTGTCAAGATTGACTGCTACGACTCCCTGGCAGTGAAGGTCAGGTCTGCTTTGCCTTTTACCGTGAGGAAGTCGCTGGTTTAGTCGACTTTGAGAGACCCTTGATCTATTGTTGGGTGCCTGGAACGACACCAAACCTTGATTCAAACTTGAGAGTAGGCAGTTAAAGCAAACTACAATCATCAAGAACCTGCAATAAAATCATGCGTTAAGGATCCTTTCACCGTGCGCAGCAAAGCCAAGGTCAAATGACCTGCTGTTGACAAGACAGTTGTCAACAGAAACCTAAAACAGAGGAGTAATCCAGTCTTCTTTGATCGGGTATGCGTCCTCGTTGATGTCCATCTCCTGCGAACTGGTGAACATTTCACGCCAGTCAGCCGTTGTCAAGGCATGAAATCTCTTGTGGCTACTGACCTGTAAACCTAGGGAGTCGGCGGAGTAATTCCAGCATCCTCTGATAACGAAGCAAGCCATCCTGGCTCTGGTGTTGCTTGCGTCCCTACGGGTATTTCTTAGGTTCAAATCGGAAGCAAGAATACAAATATCGGACGTAGGATTTCTAGTTGAAAATTTAAATAGTTCTTCGACTCCGCGTTCCATGAGTTAGTTGGAAACAGCCCTTAATGTCGCTACTAAAATATGCAATTCTTACTTGCTGCGGCTTATCATAGGGCTGATATTGCTTAGAGCCGGGCAGTCAGGCAACACAAGAGGCTCCAGTCTATCGTCGCGCTTCTCCAACGAAGAGACTGCGTCATAGTCACCCTTGACAAGCATTAAGTCGAATCCTGTCTTTGCAGGATTAGTCTCTTCCGCATTTACGTTAAATCGAAGTTCACCCGACCGTCGCTAGTCGTATCACCGTCAGACGGTAGAAGGTTAGCAGGGAATGGCCTATCCAAGTGTCTAGACCATCGCAAATTTGGTGTTAGTTCCACCTGTTTTGATCGAACCAGATATATGTAGGAGGGCATTGAGCCTTTCTGTATCTAAGGCGATAGCCTAGGCCATGGCACCTGCCAGTCCCATACTATTTGTATAGTCAATTTTGGCTTGTAATGTGGTCATATTTTGGTCTAGTTGGTCTAGTTGGCTGAATAGCTACAGTTGGTTCCCAAGATCCTTCACTTTCCTTAGCACGGACCACTCCACACCAGATGCCCGGCCCTCTATACCCTGGGTATCCTGGGGCCCATGGGTATCTCTGGCAGCCTTATTGGGTGGTGTTGATGGTGTTGTTGCCGCCGATGTTGCCTTTTAAACCAGCAGCCCGTTTATAAGGGGCTTTGCAAGGCCATAACCTATTTTCAGCCACTCCTGATATTGCTTGCAATCAACCCAGCTAGGCGAGCCTTTTGATAGTAGGAAATAAAGTTCCTCTTGCCTACGACAATAGAGTCGATCTACTGACCAAGATACCCCAGCTCTTTCCTATATTATACTACCTCAATAGGGCTAAAGATTGACAGGTCAAGTGGCTGGAGGACATGGGAGGTACGTGGAGGCAAGGATAATATATGGGCGTTGTTGGTATAAGTAGAACAGCCACATAAAATCTGTCGTCGTATAGCTCCTGAGGCCACCTAGGATAAGGAGTCTAGCCTGGCCAGGCTTAGAGGGCTTGATGTGGGGGATGAAGACCCTTTCTAACCATTCAACAGCAGTAGCATTAGTAGTCCATCCATTCTCTGTTGTAAAGAGCTCCAGAATACGCTTCCATCAGAGCTGCCCCTCCTTCTGTTCTCCGATCCGCTGCACAGATAGTTACCCGACCTCATTCCACGATTCTCCACTTAGAGGTAACGATCAGATCAGTTGCCGTCGTCAAGTTCGCTTCGCCTTTTGAACCGGCACCTGCAACGTAGCGTCGTTGGCCACAGCAGACCATCATTTTTGAAGACTGCAAAAGAACTTGAAGCACATGCACCTAGGGGAGTATTCCCTGACGAGAACTTCCTTGAGCTGTGACGGTATCGCCTGACCAACCCGTTGCGACGATCATCCCGAAGTGATCCCGACACGCCGAATTCAAAGACCGCGGGGAACTGTGGGGTTAGCGCCGGCTTACCGGTCGGAGAGGGTGAGGGAAAGCCGCCAGGTGCCGGCCTAGTGACCGGGGGCTGCTGACTGGCAGCGTCACGATGAGATGAACCACTCTGCGCGAGTCATGGGATTCCCGCATGACGCGCCTTGAACTTCTCCATCTGTCTCTGTCTTCCTTGTCATCCTTTTTTCCTTCATTGCGACGCAGAATGCCGTGCACGCTGCACGCGTCCAGCCCAGCCTACGGCACATCCACACGCACAAAATCTTCCCCTTGAGGATCACGGCTCCCCCCTTGCACTTTTACTTGCGGCCAATCAGACCTTGATACAAGACCAACCTAGGGAGTTGCCCGCGTTAGCCTAGCCTCTCAACCCCCACTAGGGCCCATGTTGGCAAGGTGGCATCGAGTTCTTGCACCTGCCCTTTTCCCATCCGACGTGGACGAATAGAGCCGGTTACAGAACAGTTCCCGGGTTGCTTGTTCATGGGGTCCCTAGAACGCGTTTTTCTTGGACAGAACCAAGATCATCTGCCAAATGGTTTACCCTCCCAGAAGAGCCCCCTTGCCCACGAATGCTAGCTAATACCTAATTGTGCAGGCCGCAGTATGTGGCAATGTGCCATCCGTTCTTTAGCCGCCACTCTTCGTTGCCTAAAGCCAAGGTGAGACAAGAAGACAACCAAGATGCCTGGCGCGGGTGTATAATTGTGTAGCCAGCTGCTGGGCTCCATTACACAACTGCCGCTAGCGTGGTGACGTTCAATGTAGTTAGTTACCAGCTTCCCGGTCGCTCTGCGGCGCGCTCTCGCACAAAGTCACTAATATATCTCGTTCGGTGTCTCTCGGGACAAAAAAGTATTGAAGAGGCGTCGAAACTCATTGGACGTCGCGAAGACCACCATCGTCCCTTAGCGAAATGGTGTAAGCCAGAACCAGGCGGGATCCGTACCTATCTCGACTCACGCGAAAGAGTCTAGACCTCGAGACCATCTGTGGTTCTCTTGCGGTTCTACCAAGGATCAAAGGGGGCTGTCAAGTGTCACTTCCCGCGTGGCGATCCAAGGGTCGAAAGACGTGACGAGAAGAGAATCCAACCTCCACCAACCAGAGCCGCGGACGGCACACTCGGCTCGCGCCACCGGTACCGAGAGCCCACCAGCACCGGCCCCCATGCCTGCTTTGCATGCTCGAGGCACCCTTGTTGTTCAAGAAGCCTGCCATCTCCTGCCGCGATTGGCAGATGCCCGAGATGAATCGAAGCCTCTCCCGATACATCCCCCAGAAGGCGTAGACGCCCCCAAGCCTCTAGATGCCTCCCTGGACAGGGTCGGACCGGACGCCTGGCGATGCCGGCAATCGATTGGCCACGCTTGCTGAGCCTTAATCTTTCCTATTCTACGCACCATGCGCTTTTTTGTTCTTCCTTCCTTTTTCTTACTATTCTTCGCGTCAGCCATGATTTCCTCCGCTGTGCTTTTGCGGCCGCCTCGCTTGCCATATTGGGCGTGCCGACTTCGACGTCTAGATTTGCCGGGCCACGAACACAGCGCAAGGGGTCCCGGAATATTGCGCCTCACCTCGCGTGGCCCCCAGCTGGCCCCCTCGCGACGGGGGCTGTAGGTTTTTTTTTTTCTTTCTTTTTTCCTCTTCTGATCTCATGAGAGCACGCCGCAGCTCGCCAGCCGCGTGCCGCGGTATTCTCGTGGGCTCGGACGGCGTCTTCCCTCCTCCAGAAGCGTTGCCATCTGACGTTTCGGACACCAGCTCCAGGTCTTGTGCGGCGCTAAGATGACAGGAGACGTTCAAGTAAGGGCAGGGGTTGTATGATTGAACCCAGGCTGCTATCCATCCCTCCACGAATGGTCGTCTTCTCTGCTGAAGATTGGACGCGGCTCCAAGACCTCGGCTGTCTCGACAATTTCGAGAAGGAGGTAAGGGAAGGAAAAACCTATTCCATATTCCCTTGCTCCCCTCCCCCCCCGGCCGGCGCCGGCGCATCTGCCTTTGGGCAAACATGCAGGCTTCGGACTCGACAAAGCAGGCCCTCTTGGCGATAACGCTAATGTGACCACCGCAAGCAAAGCCCCCTTGCTCAGCTGCGACCCCCGTTGTTTGCATCTGCAGTCCCTTCTCCTTTCACTCTCTTTCTGTATATATATGTGTGCGGTGTAGGTCCCGTGATGGATGATGGATCCTTCTTCTGCTCTCATGGCCTCTTCACCGCATCCTCGTGCGACCATCTCGACAGCCGCCAACATCGTGATCTTGTTGCACCAAGACATGCCATTCTTTCAACATTAGCAGCAAACATCCGTCATTCTTTATAAAGCCTCTGCATCACGTTCCTTTAGTGTCGTTTGGGATAACTCCTCACATCAAACTTTATTCACTCCTTGTGTCTCTTCGAACAGGCAGAACGACCGCAAAAACCACATTCCTTTGCTCTTAAAGCGTAGTATCATACCCCACGATCAGCAACCATGCATCCCAAGTCCCTCCTTTCCACCCTCCTCGTCCTTCTCCCGGCCGCCTCGGCCTGGGACTCCCCCAACTACTCGGGCTTCACCCGGCTCTGGCAGGACACCTTTGCCGGGGCCGCCGCCTCGGGCGTCAACGAGGCCAACTGGCAGATCGTTACCAACATCAACGTCAACAACGAGATTCAGCAATACACGACGTCGCGCAACAACCTGCAGATCTCGGGCGGCGAAACCGTCCAGATCATCCCCCAGAAGGACGCCAGCGGGCGCTGGACCTCGGGCCGCATCGAGTCCAAGTACACCTTCACCCCGGCCGCCGGCCGCGTCACCATCGCCGAGGGCCTGATCCGCTTCGGCGACACCCCCATCGCCAACAAGAAGGGCATCTGGCCCGCCTTCTGGATCCTGGGCGACGCCCTCCGCAATGGAGTTAGCTGGCCCCGCTGCGGCGAGCTTGACATCCTCGAGACCGTCAACGGCCAGCTGACAGGCTACGGCACCGTCCACTGCGACACCTACCCCAACGGAGCCTGCAACGAGCCCAACGGCATCGGCGGCACGACAGCCATCCCGGACCAGGGATGGCACACCTGGCGCATGCAATGGGACCGCCGCTCCAACAACTGGCAGACCGAGACCATCACCTGGTTCCGCGACGGGCAGCAGTTCCACCAGATCAGCGGCGCGAGGATCGGCAGCGAGGGTATCTGGAACTCGCTGGCCCACGCCCCCCTGTACTTTATCCTGAATGTCGCCGTTGGCGGTAACTGGGTAAGTTCTTTTAGGGGTTTTTTGTCCTCCCCTCTTTTCCTGCTTTTTGCGTGAAATCAGCTCTTTTTGCCGGAACGTATGCTGACGACCCGGATGTAGCCCGGCAACCCAGACGGCTCTACCGTCGGCGGATGGGGCAGCTTGATGGAGACCGCCTACGTCGCCGTCTACCAGTCTCAGTAGGCACCAGAGCCCTCCAGGTCTCTTTTTTCTTTTTTCAACCACCCCCGCTGGACCTCTGGATATTGTGTATACTTCTTCGGGATATTGTATGTTGCTGCTCATGCAGCCATGCCATTCGTTGTATATATATGTCTTGTGCATACTTAGATACAGACCCCCTCTGTCGATCGCGTAGTATATAAACAATTACACTCATTGAACTACCACAGAGCCTTGATCAATCTTGGCCGCATGAGTACTACACGTGCTTCGACGGGCACAGTGAATGAAAGCAATGAATGATGAATATATATATATATATATATATATATATATATATATTCGTTCGTCTTAAGTCATGACGCTCATCGTAAATGATATACATGGTAGATGGTGACATGCTACATGGCGACAGGCTCCCGACTTCCCTCGGGCGCTAGGCACCTAGTCGTAGAACACCAAGCATCTGACCTCGATGCTCTGCCGCCCCTTGGCGTCCGCGGGGGTGTTCGGGTCGACGAAGGCAGTGTGCGGCGTGTAGTCCGCGACCCCCGGCTTTCCTCCGGGGCGACCTTGACTCCGCGAGTCGAAGCACTTGATGAACATGGCCTCGTCGGGTGTCATGTCCTTGGCATAGTAGAACTTGTGCTTGTCGCTCGGCGCAACAGAAAAGGTTTCGCCTGGGAACATTGTCAGCAAGGGGGCCCTCGCACCCAGAACGCCCCATGTCGTACGGGTTGGGTTTCGAAACTCACCCTTTACTTGATAGCCCTCGGTGGACTGCGCCCGGCTCGGGTCGGGGAGAACCTCCTTGCCGCGGTCGTCCTCGTCCTCGTCCGCCCTCGTGGGGTACAGCAAATCGACGGCAATGAGATCCTTTGGCTCCGTTGTCCGCCAGTCAATCACGGCCAGCGGGAAGTCGCTCGCCGGGTGCCCGATGGGTCTCCACACGTTGATGATTTGGTAGCGCCCCTTCAAGAGCTCCTCGGCCTCGTCACCGGGGACGTGCCTCCGCACGCGCGCCTCGGCGGCGGCGGGTGTCTGGTCGACGTGCACCTGCTGAACCGGCTGCCTCGGGCTGTCCTTGACCCTCCGGCGGATGGTATGGTCGAAGATGACGACCTTCTTCACGCCGGGCAGCTTCGCGCGCAGCAGCGCTTCGACCTCGGGGTAGTACCCGTTCCGGACGGCGGCGTCGTCGGTGAATTCCTTCTCCTTGGCGGGGGCGTTGTGCACGACGAAGCCGGAGACGTCGGTACCAAAGTTCTCGCCGGCCTCGCGGATGTTGGCGACGGAGCGCCGGCGCTCCGTGCGGGTGAAGGAGGTGACGTCCGCGTCGACCTTGGCCCAGGGTTTGCTGCCCGCGCCTCCCAGTGTCGCAGGGTCCAGGTAGCGGAAGCTTCCGGTCGTCATTGTTGCGAGGAGTCTGCTGTGGGTGGTGGGGGAAACGCTGCTGTTTCCGATGCTGGGCTTGAGTGTTGATGCAAGGATTGGGATCCGTCGTAGGGTTGTGCTCATACTAGAGCGGATTCGCGTCTAATGCAAGGTTTGCGGTGGGATTTTCAGACTACAGGCGGGATGCGGAGGTGATATATCTAGGACGAGGAGGGGAAGCTTTAAGTCGAACTTGGTAGAACACGAATGGGAGCCGCCGGATGGCGATTTCATCATCACCAACGAGTTCGGATTAGTCAGTCATTATTTCTAAGCGTCCGAGACCCACTTCCGGGTCGGCAGCGATTGCGGGGCATGATTTCCAATCACCGATACTCCGCCCGGGGTATGAGTGAACACATTCCGATCCATCGCCGACTGTCCGTACGTATGTGGGTGGATATACCTTCTGTAGACCAAAACTGCATGGCTCTTTTCATCGCGTGGCTCGTCACTGTATATATGCCGTGGACCTTTCATCATCAAGCTAGTCACTGCCATACGCGACTCGCCTGGGTAGGGCGTGACCGTATTCACTTTAAAACCTAGGCGATTCCTGAAGCGTGAGCAGCGCAAATCTGACTTATCTTCGCTTGCCCGTTAATCTCCCGTTTATTTCAATATGTGCCATACCTGTTACCCACCCACGTAGTGAATTTAGGGATGAAAGAATGCAAAATAGTACCAAATACTGGTGGTTCGACAAGCATTTTGTGGTTAGCGATGAACCAAAAGAAAAAAGAAACCAGTCGGGGGAGGCTCTATGTTCCGAAACCGAGAATCGAACTCGGGGCTATGCCTAACCTCTCACAGGATGAGAGGGCATCATGTTGGCCACTACACCATATCGGAGTTTTAGCTGTGAATTTTCTACCCGTAAAGAAAATTCTGAATCCCGGAGTGGGGGCGGGAACCCCGGCTACATGCTTGCAAACAGCGACAACAGTGCATGTTCAGCGCCCCACTGCGTACAGATCGAAGAAGATTCCATGGTCAGAGGTCAATATTGTTGCTTCAAGGTCAAAGTGTCTCAAACGTGTGGTGTCACCTCTCAAAACTCAGTAAATGTTACCGCCAACGAAAACCGTCAGGCAGGAAATACAGGACCAGCAGCCAGATGTAGAAAGACTCAATGTGCGTAACGAATGCTCAGTCTCGTCTTCATTTGCACCCACCATACGAGTCTTTTCCAATCGATCCAACCCGCCGTCTCTAGATGTGGACGACTGCTTCGCCTACACCGACAATAATGTGATGGGATGTAGGGGCGACAGCTGTTAGCAGATATGTTATGATTGGTACTTGCGTGAATGCAGGCGATCTTGTCTTCAGCGCCGATGACGCGCCGATTAAGGAGTGCGTGCCTCTTGTGAGCCGTGAAATACGAAGAAAGCATCAACAGCCCATGAAAATATCATCAAACTCCTCGTGTGTAGCCAACTGGACGCTGTGTTTCGAACCGTGTCTTGGGTTGGCAATAGCATCATGGTCGGCATCTTTCAGGATCTAATATTGCCACCTAGAAAGCCAATTGTCAATAGGAAAGGGGAGTGTGCGAGCAGATAAGGGCGTGCTCGAGGTTGCTGAAACAATAGGAGACGGCTCATCTCAGCTTTAGTGACATTGTTCGCATCGCTGTATATAGAGAGCTTTCTCCTGATGGACATCAAAAGCTATACATATATATATATATCCATAACGAAATGGCGGATGCATTTTTCCTTCGGTTACCATTGATGTTGAAGTAGAAAGGTCTCCAGAATGAAGTTATAAAATGGTTGATCGAGTTTGGTATAAAGTCCGCCACCCAGAGGCGCGCTTAACGTGAGACTCCTAGTAATATGTGGCTCTGGTCCGTCGGAAAAAAGTCTCGAGCTTCCAGAGACAAGTGCAGACGCACCGCGGCTAACTATAGACCAAGCTAGATGTCTAGGTGAGTGGAGTCTAGACAGTCGTAACTTTGTCCCAGAAGAAAGCATACAGTAATTACTACAAGAGTTGCTAATCACCCCACCCTACTTATGAATAGGCCCCACATACTAACACCCATTACAACTGTCAGGTGCCTAGAACAGGGCCCTAGGGTGGCACCAGCAGTAGGGCTATAGACAGATAAACTACTATCTAAAGCATATAAAAGGGAAAAGTCCTACAAGGACTAAGGGTTTAGAGGAGGTAGATTAGAATAATTATTATAATTAACCTCTAACTACACTATTTATAGACTCTTTTACTTGGTGTAATCCAAGCCTCTAATATATTTCAATTTTTACTTAACCACCCTTAGGTATACCAAATATTAGAGCTATACTAAATAAGAAAGGTTAGGTAGATAGGTAGATAGGTAGATAATTAGTATACTTAAGTATTTAAATACTAAGCTAGCCTAGTATTAGTATAGACTAGAAGATACTATTAGTATTAGTGTAGGCCAATACTAGACTTAAGTATACCAATTTACAACCCTGTGTTACAACCCAACAAGTTATAGGCAATGTTGCCCCACTTGGCAAAGCGGCCAGTGGGCAGCAATAGCATTTATACAGAACTAACAGATAGGCGTAGACAAGATAACTCCCACAGACACAGAAGAACTATAGTACAAGTCACATAACAATAAGATTAGATAAGATCTATACATTAGAAATACAGAAGCTATATACTTAGTATATAGGCGCTATACAGAAAATATATAGGTGCTATAGTTTAGATATATAGCCTTATACGCTAATAGAAAGAATAAACTTATATATAAAATAAACTTAGATATACTTAAGAATAAACTCTTATAGCTCTTTAGTAATTAACTTCTTATAATATAATTTATTTAAATAACTTTTAGTATTTAACCTTAGTAATTTAATTAATAAAAGCTATATAAGCTACCTTTATAACTATTAACTACCTAACTAATTACTAAGTAATTAATAACTAGTAAGCCTATACTACTATTAACTAAGTATTAACCTTAGCTTATTCCTAGTAGAAACCTTACTATTAGATTACTAACTATAACACTTTAATTACTCTTATTAAGTAAGTTAACCTTAATATTACCTAATAGTAAAGACACTATATTAACCTCTAAGAATACACCCTTAGTAAGTACCCCTAAGTCCTAGTGTTCCTTAGACAAGAACTTAAGGACATTATAAAGATTAATAATAAATTTATTCTACCTAATCTAAGATTTAATAAAGATAGTAAGGCTATCCTTACTATAGATTAATACTTTATAATTTAAGAGATAATTAAAAGAAACACTAGATATAACTAATAACTTATTAAAGTTATTAATAGTAATATAGCTAAACTAGAGTGCTTAGAGAAAGCTATCCCTAAGGAACCCTAACTAAGATATAAGAACTTAAGGAGACTATTAAAACCCTCTAAGGCGCTACTAACATTATATAGACCCTAGTTAATAGTCAAGATAAGCTTAGACTTAATAATCTATAGCTATTTAATAGAACCCTAGGACACTTAAAGGGATTCCTTACTTAAGTCTAAGTGTACTACTAGTTCTATAACATTAGCTTTAGGGATAAACCTAAGAAAGTTATCTATACTACCTTATTCCTTAAAAAAAAGCATTAGCCTAGTTTAAACTTTACCTAATAAACTATATAATAAACAACTAGGTAGGCTTAAAGATAAAAACCTAAGAGATCTTCTATAAATACTCTAGGTTTAAGAAAGCACTACTATTACTCTTCTAAGACCCTAATAAGAAGCAATAAGCTAAACAAGAACTATTTAACTTAAGATAGACTAAGGCTACTTTACACTATATAGCTAAATTCTAAAGACTTACTACTAGACTTAATATTACTTAAGAATCCTTAATTTTTATGTTTTACTAAGGACTTAAGGAAGATATTAAAAATAAACTAGTTAAAATTATAAAC